AACAGATTAGTTTTATTAGATAGTTAACTATATTAAATACAGTTTTTCTTTTCCCTCTCAACTAAGCGTTTGTTTAGTTGATAAGCTTCCTCTGCTCACGTGTACGTGAGGTTTTGAGGCACCTGCTTTCACTGTAATCAGTGAAAGTAGACTATACTGTAATCAGTATAGTCGGAGGGTGCCCCATTACATCAGTCCTCTGTCACGAGCTCCTTTGTTTCGCACTTGTGCAGCAGCGCTTACCCATACTTGGTGGCGCGCGCGCAATCTTGGGCTCATAACCTGTTGGAAGCCTAAAAACGCATGACGAAATGGCTTTACTTACGGACGCGTGCCAGACGCGTTTCGGCCCGCCGCCGCGGGCCTCCTCAGTGGCTTCCGATCGCAAAGTGATCCTACTCAGTGCAGCGGCCTCTACCGCATGCCATACAGTTTACCTATGCATCGAACATTCTAGAGCTACCTAGAATAGACTATTTTAGAACAACCTAGCAGACTTCACCGGCGTACTTCTAGTACCCGGCTAGATACGAAGTTCCACTTTCCAACACAAAAAAACCAACGTTATACGGTTTTCAAGCCAATACCGACACCTCCTTTTTGTGGTTTTTAGCCGTTTTTTTCGATACAATTAATAATGGCCGAAGACTTGAGTGTCTCGGTCTCAGGTCATAAGCATCCACGTATTCCAACATCTGAACCGATACAAGAGCCATTCGTGTCCCTCCCTTCTGATACCTCAATTGTGCTAAACTTTGCATCAGAGGCTGTACAAGAACCTCAACAAGTGCAGAATGGCGGTCTATCGCGTACAACATCGGGTCTTCCTCTCGGTCGGCGTATGCGACTAACACTCGGTCAAAAACGTGAGGTAGTGGACCTCGCGGCTAGCAAGAAATTCACACATCGAGAACTGGCTGAGAAGTTTTGTGTCGGTCGCACAACAATCACTAATATCTGCAGACAAGAAGATTTGATTCGAACCGAGACGGATTCCGCTGATGCTACGAAGAAAAAACGCAAGACAACCAAATGCACGTACGACCTGCGAATACTGGATGAGTGTCTACATAAATGGAGGATGGAAGTGAAAGTTTCGAGTCCCGAGACGAAGCTCACAGGTACAGTGTTGCAACATAAAGCAATGGAATTGGCTTGCAAAATTAGTCAAGAGCCGTACGCAGTTTTACCGGACAAGGTGAAGCAAGCACTCCAGAGATTTACAGGTTCAAATGGCTGGTTGGATGGATATAGGACGAGATTTGGATCGTTCAGCAGTAAACAGACACATGGAGCAGGAGACCAGAGTGTTATCAAGAGTGTGGACATTCAGACAAGACTACGAGAGCTGCATCATAGTTTTAGTAATGTCGAGCTGGATGATATTTGGACAGGAAGTGAGTTTGCCGTCATGTACAAATTACCTATGCCGGATGAGAGTGGACATGCAGATGGTAACAATGGAAGGTATACGGTGGCGCTCTTTATTAGTGCGGCTGGAGAAAAGTTTGACATGCAAGTAATTGGTATGGATCGCAGCCCACTTCTATTGGAAGCAGTTGACACACAGAAGATGTACAATATTCAGTATGGATACTCAAAGACGGGGTGGCAGGTGGCACAGACGACGGTGAGCATGCTAAAGTCTCTGAACGCACTTGCTCGAGAACGCAAACGCACGTTTCGTGTGGTTTTAGACTCGGCAGTGCCACATGTTAAGGCTGCAATGATTTTGGATTCACAGGGAGACCAACGCACGTTCTTTGTGTACGATCATCTTCAAATTTACTTCTTACCCCCAAATTTTAAGGTTTTGCGGTTCCATCCATGCCATCTTGGCGTAATTCAAGCTTTTAAGGCTCGCTTTCGTAGCGAGATGCTTGAGACGTTGTTCAGCAATTATCGACATGGCGTCAACAGTCAGGATCCGCATGGTTTCCATCCGCAGCGACACTTGCACACACGAAACATTTTTCATTGGCTTCACGTGGCGCTCTACAGCCTTGACAAGCAACTTATTCAGTCTTGTTGGGTTCGCAGTGGCTTGTTGCCTACACAGGTGATTGCATCTCTTAACTTGCGTGCCATTTTGAGCAGTAACGGTGTGGACGAATCGTCCGTAAATGTCATTCCTATCATTCCCAGTGGCAGCGGTAGCGATAGTAATGCTGCTGACGTTAATCTAGTGAAGAAAGTGGCTTCAAATGGTGATCCCTGCTCGACCACCATCACTCAAGGAGGTTTGCCGCCTCCAGCGCTATTGTACCATGATCTGCAGCAACAGCTGACAAATATCGCCCAGCTTGCTCCTGACTTTCTACGCTGGATTGGCGTGAGTGACCCTAGGAATGCACAGGCATATGCGGAGATTGAAGGCAACGCCTTGGTGACTGACCCTGGTATCGACGAGGTTCAAATCATTCGCGGTGTGTTGCAAAGGCATGGATACTTGTCCACTAAGAAACTTGACGACGAGAGTCATGTAGAGGGGTCGTACGAAACCTTCACAGATGTAGCTGAGGAGCTCTGTCCGGGGCACGACGAGGTTATGGCTTCCATAGGGATCCTTAAGACGTATTTGCGTCTGTCACGGGACACGTTACCATCGCGTGTCGAAGCAATTGTGCAACTAAACAAAGTTAAAAAAGCAGTTGATGCTGTCGCCTTCCGCGAGACAGTAATTCGTGACGTGTGAGTGCAAGGCCGTTGGCACGGTGACGTATTAAAATGGTCTACACTTACTTGGACATTGTTCGCTGCAGTTTTTGACTTTATCTTACACTTGCCAACTGCGCGGCACAGTCTAGTTAGTAACTAGCCTGAGCTTATGTTTGGGAGGCGATGCTGCGATACTAGTACTTTATCAAGTCGTCGGCTTGCTTGGGCTGCAGAAGGCGACAAATTTTGCATGAGCGGGGCCAAAGGTGGTAACACATAATCCTCCAGCGGCAGGATTGCACGTTCAGCAATGGCCTGCTGCTCAATGGAACGCTGGCGGCGTGCGTAGGCTACAATCGTCCGAAGAGCGCTGACCAACCAGTCGCGATGGCTTGAGCTCTGAGTCTCTAGGTCTAAAGTGCGGTCCCGGAAAACAACCGAAAAGGAGCACGCCTCGAGCAGTTTCGTGGATGGGTACTTGCGAAACACAGCAGTTTGCCGTCCGTCAAGCACTTGCAGTGTTCCTGCCAGGTCGACCGCTTGGCTGAGTCGTCCGCGTTTGTGCTGCCACTGCAGGGTTCCGCAACAATTACAATGGAGTCTGGTAGCATGGGCACCACCTCGCCGGCCATACTTTATCATTGGAAAGAACATATTGATAGCCTGGACCAGATACGAACGGTGCTTGCCACCGAAACGGAAAGCCAGCTCGACAATCTTCCATCGGGCACCTTCAATTGTCTCTAGCTCTTCGTCTGTGAACAAGTACGTCTTACGCTTCTTGCGCAAATGCAGCGTCTTCAACACGCGTGGACCGATCCTCGAGAACGCACTCTTCTTGTTCTTCTTGCCAGGATGAGCTTCTTGAGGAGTGAACGCAGGACTAATACGTAGTGGCGTAGGAATTGGAAGCCCTTCATCATTTGGAGACGGGATGTTAAGATCATACGCAGACGGACATGACCCAGCTCTCCTACGCAGCGGGTTTAGTATGGTTATGCGGCGGATTCCGTGGGATTGGGCCAGTGGCTTGCACATGTGATCCGAATCGTCTTTGAGCTCGATCACTAAGCGACGCACGCTCGAGGTAAGCTGGTCCTGAGTTGACAGTATCACGTGTTCAGCTTCACAGCTCAGTAGACGAGTTCTTCGGTGCTGTTGTAAACGGTACTCGGTGGGACTCAGCTCTTGTGCCAGCTCTGTGAGCGCCTCTTCTTGGTCACTGCTAAATCTATCATCGTCGCGGTTGTTATCCAGACCGAGCTTGTCCAAGTAGTCAATATTGTCAACATTTTTGTCCTCCTCCTCATTATCATCGTTCTCATAGCAGTCGTCATCTTGGTTCGACAAATCTTCGCTTGCGTTTCCAAAATGCATGTCCGACTCATCCAGTAAACTCTCACGCTTGATCCGGTTCATCAGCTTGCGCACGCTTATCCGCATGTTTGCCGGATCAAAATCTAGCTCGCTGTTCTCAAAGACTTTTTTGTTCTCCAAATTGTCGTGTTCATCATCCTCTTTATAACTACCGGAAGCATCTTCAACAGCAACATCCTCCTCGGAACATCGATCAGTCCTGCGTTCCTCCTCCTCAACGATCTCCTGTTCGTTGTTGTCGAGTTCATAAGTGTTTACCTCCTCGGCTTCAGTCACCTTCTCTTTCTCCTCCTGATCGTTCGGCGTCATCGACAATGGCGCAAAGCTTTCATGTAAGGCACTAAACTCCCTCATCTGCCCTTCCAGCGTCGTTCTCCGCATGAGCTCGTCATGACTCAATCGCCCCGCGAGCGCTGCTGTACAAAGAGGCTGCGCCGGATAAAACTGGAGCCGTTGAATCATCGCACGCCCATTGCCTTTCTTGCAGCTTTCATTGCTCAGCGGACCGCATGTGGTTATCTTTGACTGCGCTATGAGCGTCGCTCCCATGCTGCAACGCCGCGTACGGTATGTGACCTCCTCTGTGTCATCGTCGTAGGGCTCCTTGTCCTCATTACTGTTGTTGCTGTTGCTGCTGTGCACGTCTTCCCGATCAGATTGAAACACGCTACTACGCCGCACAATCGCCGACAATTTACCCAGCAGCACCACGCTGGACGAGCGCTCGCGCTTGTGGTGACCGCTTGACCACGTCTGCATCAAAGTAGAATCGAGTAAAAATGAGCTGGCGAAATTCTGTGCGTGCGTGCTGGAGATCGAAAGAGCGTAGTCTGAACTTGAGACCACGAGTAGAGAAGAGAGAAACCGTCCGACCAACAGCAAGGCCGAGATTACGTTTTCTCTGGACAGGACGACCGTGAGTGTGGTCAAACTGACTGCCGATCGAAAGGGTTTTACACTTGCATTTAAAGCCGTTGCGTTTACCCAAGTGTCTTCAAGTGTTCACTGATGTATCAACTTTGAGAGAGTTCACGACCAGCTGTTGTTCGTCTACAAACTTCAGTTATCAGATTTGAAAGGCTTGGACTTAAGTCGCACCCAAGTCGCAAGAACCGTTATTATAATTCTACTGGAACGTGTCACTGGCCACAAGTCGCCAGGCTTTTCTTCACCGACTTTACGGGCTCCGATCGTATCTAAAATACCAAACAATTGCTAGGCTAAAATTTAACTGAATTTTAACTGAAGTTTAAAGTTGAAGTTTACACTTCATTGCATTGTTACGCCATATTACAAAGTACAACTTTGTCGCCTCGTAAACAATTGTACGTGCGAATGGTACACTGTACCACTCCTATTGACACTTTTTAGATCGAATGGTAAGTGGTGGTAAGACGTCTCGACGGGGTGCGACGCAGCGACGTGGCCGTCTCCAGGGCGTCAGTACGTTATTGCAAAGTAGTGCAGCTGCATTGTCTTCATCTTCTCGTCTACTGGTGTGGCACTCTCGCTTCTCGCATGCTGCGTCTCGTCACGAAAGCGTTTTGAATGGCCACGCGATGAACCAGCAGCTAGAAGTGTATCTTCCATCCGAGGCCGGGAAAATCACGGCACAGTCGTTACAATGGGAAACAGGCTTTTATTATGAGGTCAAAGCATCGCTTGATATGTTTCTATCGCCAGCTTTTATCCATGACTATTTAATGGATGGTGGTGCTGTGTTTATGGTGACCAAGAACGTGGCAATAGACGCGTCACAGTCGGCAATGCTACTGCCTTCTGGTCAATTGCTTTTACTTGTGAATGCAGATACGTACCAGACATTAGGGCTTGTAGGTAAGAAGTATGGCAAGGCATTGCCTGCTTCGAGCAGGACGGCACATGTTAAGCGGGGTCAGAAGTACATCATTACGCTGGACTTGACATCGTCTACGTTCACTGAAAAAGGAGAAAACCTCTTTAGAGATCGAGTGAGAAAGTGTTTGAGCACGAAGCTGGAACATGTAGATATGGTGCTATGTGCGTACAATCAACGAGGCTCGGCACGCACGATCTTGTTTGAAGACGATGATGCCGTGCCACGCTCGCGAGTCGAACTAAATGGCAAGATGAAGACGTTCAATGAGGTGTTTCTGCCCAAGTTTGATGCTTTTTATACCGCGCTAGGCGCGAATGAAGCAGGTGGAGATGAAGAAGTGGACATGTTGAGGACGTCGTTGTGGGAAGCGTACGACTGGTTGGGACTTGTGGCCTGTCGGTTGACCAACTTGCTGCAGAGAAAAAAGTTAGAAGAGTATGTGTCAACGTTCACAGGCATTCCTGATTCGTTTGAGTGCGAACCAGAGAGCGAGATCACGACGGTGCAGTGGCGTGGTCTGTTGGCAGCGCCATTTTGCTCGGCTATTGTTGAGAAGGTGCAGCGTGCTGTTAGAAGCGGGGAGCTGCCGTGGGGTGCAATCACAGTTTGGGGCTTTCCGGATGTCTTTGTGTCTTGGGTGCAGCAGACTAAAACGAAAAAAAATGCCAAAGGAATGAGTAGCGAGGCCCAGCGACGAGAGCATGGCTATCTGTGTAATGGCAACAACAACTACACACTGCTTATGCTACCAAACGACGAGTACTTTATGCTGCAAGCGCTTGGCCCTCATGACGCTACCGTGTAGATAGGTTAGTGTTACTTGCAGGCTAAAGCTATACCTTGCTTGCAAAGCTACAATAGAGCAGATTGAGCATTATTACGTTGGCTGGAACCTAGCTAGTTTGCGAAGACGTTTTCAACAAACGCCGCAACTGTAGATGAGTTGGAGTCGGACCCAGCTTCGGCGAGGGTTACTGCGACCTTGATGTGCTTGCGCGCGTGCTTGACGTTGTTCTTTTTACCGTAAAGGAGAGAAAGCCGCAAGTTTGCCAAGAAACAAGTGGCGATCTCACTGTTGCTGCTTGTCGCGGTGGTAACACTACTCGTATCGTCATCGGTATCAGTGGAGCCAACAGGTCTGGCAGCTGTTAACGAGGCCACAAGCTTCCACACGTTGATAGCAGCATCTAAGAGCTGTTGTTCTTCGTAAAGCCCAGCCAGCTCAATGAGGATTGGAACCAAACGGCCCGAAGAAGACGCAGCTCCATCTGAGACAGCGGCAATCGTAGCCAAGTATTTGTTGATAGCCTTCACTGTGTCTAAGATCGAGAGCAAACGCGCTTCTAACAGATCCAAGTCCACAGAACGTACCAAGGAACCACTCTCCTTGCCTGTCGTCACGCGGTTTAACGCTTTGCTTGAGATAGCAAACGCTCCATCTTCATCACCTAGTTTAAGAAAGCAGTAGCTCATTAACAGCTCCAACTGAGCACAGTCGTACTCATTGTCGCTCGGGTCACCCAATAACGATAAGCCAGTCTGCAACAGGCGCAATAGCTGGCGAAGAACGTCATCGTGCGATTCATGCTTTGCTTCAAGGCTCACCCGCTTAAGGACACTTGTCCCGGCAACAATGTATGCTTGTGGGTTCCAAGGTTGAGCACGAACCAGCTTTTGCGAATCCAAGCACAAACCCTTCGTTCCTGATGGACCAGCCTTAAACAATCCTAATAGTGCATCCAGAAAGTTGCGATCAACCGTCTCTTCACCACAGGACGGAAAACTGCTCGCTGCCGCTCGTAAGTACTCAGCAAGACAACCGGACACCTGAAGGGTTTGCGAATCAATCGTCGCAAAAGCCAACCTCATCCATAGCGTATTGGAGTTGAAGCCGTCATTGGTTCGTGACAGCGCATGTAGGCGAGTCAGGTACGCATCTTCGGCGCCCACCCACCGCTCGTGAAGCTCCACCAATTGAAGATTCAGATGGTCACGCCTAGAAAGAGTTGACTCTGCTTGGTCAACTGACGACAAGAGATGATTTTTACTCGCTGTTGCGAGACGGGTAGCTTGAGCGGCAAACTCGTCCGTCAGCAAGCTTGCCATCGATAGGCCGACAAGTGCAACGGTTTCGCTATCATTCGACTGTGTGTCCTCTTCTGACAACAGTGCCTGAAGTAAATCCAGCGACTTGCCTCCTTTCGACTGACGGTACAGTATTTGCGCTTGCACGATGGCTTGCAGTGCAGAGGATCCCCCCCGTGAAGGATTTATCTGTGCGCTAATCTTGTGCAACAGCGTAGACTCGTCCGTCGAAGAACCCTCAAACTCACAGGACAGTTTGCCTAGCGTTGTAAGTAGCGTGTTCCATTCAAGTCCTTCATGTGCCTGTAATAACGAGGCCGCACGGGCGTAAGACGTCAAAGCCTTGGAGTATAGTCCAAGACGATGTTGAGTGATACCGAGTGCATACCATGCATCCCCGTTGAATGGATCTCGCTCCAGGTACTTATGTAGATAAAACATCATCTGCTCATGGCCGTGCTCTTGAGTATTCGTGGTGGATTCACCAACTGTACCCTCAAAATCAAGCAGTGCCATGCACAAACCCAGCAAAGCATCCAAATCCAATCCAGCCTGTAACGCACAGTCAAACGCTTCGATCGATTTTCGTTGCTGAACTGCTGAGCTAGCATAGCGACGAGCCAACATTGCATACCCATTCCACATGGAAGGGTTGCTTGGGTTCATGCTCTGCAGCTGGACGAACGATTTTTGAGCCAGATGCGCTGTTGCAGGCACGGTATCAGCGTGGCTGACGTAAAACATGCCTAAATTTGCCCATGTGGCGTCGCTATTGCTGCCAGTTTGGATGGATCGTGCCCAGGCAAACTGCTTTACTAGCAGATTACCCGACACAAGTGCCAGACCATTCCAGGCTAATGAGCATGAAGGATCCTCATGAAGAGCCAGCTTGAAATTCATCGATGCTTTCGCTTTGAGTTTTGCGATAGTAGCATCTTCGTCAGTATGGGTGGGACCACTTCGGGCTGAAAAAGCTGACGTGTGAATGCCATGGATATTGTTTAATGCTTGGGCTTCATACCAATAACTTAGACCAATGTCGTAGTATCTCTCCGCCATCACCACCGCATTAGAATCATCAACAGTCATTTTGCTTTTCCTGGCAAGTACCACTGCCGCCTCATACGCCTTCCTTCCCACGCTAATAAAGTCAACCCAGCTCGAACCTTCACCTGAAAAGTTTTCTGGTGACAAGTAGAACGCAAAGCAGTGAATATCGCCGATCAGCTTACACGCTTCCACGGATGCAGATACAAGTGAAGTGGATGGTAATCCGTTCAGTATATGCGATGCCTTCTTCACTTTAGTAGCTGCGTTGCCGTACAATCCTTCTGCGCACAAGTATTTTGCTTGCTGGAAAAGCAGGTCGGAGTAAATCATGGAAGCAACAGTCACGTCTGGGTCACCATCCGACAACTCGCCAGTAATTATTGGTTTGATACGCTTTAACGCATCATCAAAAAGCAACAATGAGCCTTCAATCCTCGCTAGCTCACAGCGGACGCACCAGCTCTCTTCGCCTAATTCGATGGCTTTCAAGTATGACCTCTGCGCTGATACTTGCTTGTTGAAATTTCGGTAAATATGAGCCAGAATTACCCAATACCGCGCATTCAAAGGATCATTACGCAGTACCAAATGCATTTTGCCCACTGCCGTTTCGTCATTTTGCTCCACTAGGTGTTGTACTAGTCGCAAAAGCGCCCACGTAGGGGCTACTTCTTGATCCTTAGTCACTTGTCTCCAAAGTGTTACGTTCGCCTCGTACTTCCCCTGTAGATCGTACAGATTGGTCAGGCCAACTCCTGCGAGCTCGTTAATGGGAGATAGCGAAAGTGCTTTCAAGAAACACTTTTCGGCTCGCAAAATGTCGCTTGCAACTTCTTGGTACCATTTCCCCAGCCAGGAGAAGATCTCCGCATCGGACGGCGTCAACTTGGCGGCACGCAGTAGATGACCAAAACATCCTGTTTTGGCTGTTTGGTAAAAGCCACCCAAATGCCAATAAACAATTGCCAGTCGCTTGAGTGTTCGCCCCCTGCCGAAAACATCACTGGGCTTAATCTTGCTTACATTTGCCTCTAACAGCGCTTGTGCCTGCTGGAAATAACCAAGTTGAAATTGAAGCCACCCGCGCAAGCACAACACGGTAGCTCTCATACTTTCATCCTCCACTTCAGTTAAAGAAACGGAATCGATGACGTCGAAGGCCTCCTTCTGGCGCGACTTTCCTGCCAACAACTCTGCGGCTGCAATGGCCGCTCTCACCGCGAAATGAAGATCAGTGCTCTTCATGACACCATGATAGTACTCCAAGGCCTTGTCCGATTCGCACGAGTATTCACGTGCAGCTGCGGTCATGAACATCACATTAACTTCAGAGTATCTATATCAAGTACGTACGTGACACATTATGCACCACAATACGATAGATGGTCAAAAACGCACGTCACGACGTACATGTCATGAAGCGGACCTTTTGTTCCAAGTGATTTCGTCTTGTCATTTACCACCTTTCTGGCCAGTGCAAGACGATTCAGACAACCTTCCACATCGCGAGCTGCAAGTGCGATGGACGCCAATTCGATTTGCGCGCGAATGCATAGAGCACATTCTTGAAAGGATGACGAAGAATATCCTGCGAGTGCTTCGACAAGACTCTCTCGAGCCTGGTATAGCAAAATACATCCAAACGGTCATTACCTAGCATCCCTACACACATCAAGCGTAAGACGAAATACCAACTTGCCTCACTACTGTTTCCCTCGCACAAATATTCGACCGCCTTGAACACAAGAGCCATTGGACTTTTGGGATAGTTTGCGAACAATCCAGTCGCGATTTCTTTTGCTTTCTCTAATTTGATAGCTGTTCAAGCACAAATATGAATGTTTGTGTGAGTAGCGTCATTTGTCATTTAATGGCAGATAACAATTCGTATAAAAACTTACGGCTATCTTGGTCTTCGGATCGAAGAAGTAAATATTCTGCTGGGATCTTAGATTCAGGAAACAATTCGATACTCGACATTGCCAACGCGTCCACCGTCTTTATACTTGTTGACTTGTTATTTGAAGCCTTCAAGATATCCAGATGAAATCGCATGAAGAATGTAATCGCGACGTCCACTCGCGGTCGTAATGCGTCAACCTCTTCATTTTGGACTGCCCAGTCTGAACGAGATACAACAGCGAAAAAGTGGCTAGAAATCTCTTCCATTGAGTAGCTGCCACAGCAATCTGATAGACTGAAACCAGGATGCTACAACCACACAAACGCAATGATCTCTCAGTCTAATGACCTATTTTGGTACTTATTAGCAAAGCTGACAAAAGTTGAAAATTGTACCTGCAATATATCCACTAGTTGCAGCCAAATATTCAACGATGACGGAAGTTCCTCGTTCGGAGTCTTGTCCAGCGAAACTTGTCGTAAAGCTCCAGCCTGCTTCCCCACAAGTGTGTACCACGAGTCAAAGGCCTGCACACAAACGACACGAAAGAGTACTTCACTAAGAAAACCACATTTTATAGGTCTGAACGAAGCAGTAAAGAGTATGATATTATACCTTCGGCAGCATTTTGAGCTCCAGAGCAATGGCCGCCACCTCTGCAACCCATTTTTGACATCTTTTCAGCTTCTTGCCTCTGCAAACACCAGCCAATGGCACAATCCTCAGCAAAAAAACTCATTTATGGTACAACTCATTTCTCAGTCTGCAAACCTCAAATTAATTTCCACGAGTTTCTCCAGTGGCTCCAACTTTCTCTTTATATTGTTTATAGCCTCAAAAAGGTCCACAAGATGCTGCAAACACCACCCAATCCCATTAAAGACTATCAATTAATAGCCCAATAAGTATAGAAAAGAAGAATGTCCTCTTTACCTTCCACGGCGCCGGCATCTCTGGTTTAAGGTCTGCAGCTCGGCGATACGCTTCCTCACACTCTTCCCACTATAGCACAATTATATGCAATAATAATATATAATACACAATAATATTATTTGTAGTTCAAAATTAATAATTAAAGACGACAAAATGGGTACTATTACTCAAGAGAGGTACGGACCTGTTGTAGATGGAAGCAGGACAGCCCCACGCACATGAAAGCATTAAAGTTGGTAGGATCAAATTGAGTGACACGACGAGCAGATTCTTTCGCCTCGTGGTAACGCTCGGCCTTTAGAAATGCCGCTGCATCCACCAGCATTTGCCGTAGCATACTAGCCGACATCGTCTTTAGAATTTAGAAATAGGAATGAATGTATCCAAGTCATTTCTAATGAAAAGTATCATTACCCAATTATAAAAAACATTATTTTCCAATTAAAACCCAATCAAACATGTGGAAGCGGGCGGCCGCGACGTCGGCACGGCGCTCGCTCGTGACTCCACTACATGCGCATCCCAGTGCAAATGCTCTGCCTCTTGTTCATCGTCCACAGACGCGTGTTGTGCAGTCGTTTATGCGACCTTTTTCCACGTCGTTCTCCTCGACGTCAAGTACGTGGCACTCAGGAGGTTCAAAGTAACGGAAATGGGTCTTTTTAATATGGGTTGTTTTTTTGGGTCTTTTATAGCGACGCAAAATGCGCAAAAAGCGGCAGCGGCTCTAGTGGCTGCAAGCGTCGTGTTTATGTACGTGACGACGGAGCGTCAGAGTGGACAAGAAAAGCAGCAGCGTGAGCTCGAGATTGAAAAGGAACGAAAACTCAGCAGTCGACTCGCAGCGGAACTCGTAGCGGCTGAAGTTAATCAGAACAAATCAGATTGGAAAGCCACGCTCGAACGTGTCGTGCCGGCCATTGTGTCGCTTAAACTTAATTCACCCAAGGTGGGTGGGTGTTTTGTTGGGTGTGATAACGTTTATTAGTGCTAATTGGGTGTTTTTGATCTGGGTTTTATAGTTTTTTGACACAGAATCACCAGGCAATGGATCTGCAACGGGATTTGTAGTGGATGCAGAGAAGGGGATTATTTTAACGAATCGTCACGTTGTGGGGCCAGGACCTATTGTACGATGGATGGAGAATTTGGTTCTTTTGTTTTTGCGGTAGGTTTTATTGACGATATGTTGTCGGGGTTTTAAAGGATGCAGAGGCTGTTTTTCAGAATAATGAGGAAGTGCGAGTGATTCCTATTTACCGCGACCCGGTTCATGATTTTGGTTTCTTCCAATTCAATCCAGCGGTGAGTATTGCCATGGCTTGTATAATTATGTAATTAGAGAGTTATCAGATTCTTTGGTTTGTTTCGTGAGCAGGATGTGAAGCATATGTCAGTGCCGTCATTGCATCTGAAGCCAGAGAAAGCCACCGTTGGAACAGATATTCGAGTGGTTGGCAACGACGCCGCGGAAAAGCTTGCGATTGCAAGTGGCACACTGGCTCGTCTTGATCGCGACGCGCCAAACTACGGGTATAACAGCTACAACGACTTCAATACATTTTACTACCAAGCTTCGTCAGGAACGACCGGAGGCTCTTCAGGTTCGCCGGTGCTCAATCACGATGGTGATGCGATTGCTCTTAATGCCGGTGGCAAGATTGGCACAGCAGCGTCTTTTTATCTGCCCTTGGATCGAGTTAAACGAGCGCTCGATTTAGTTCGAGAAGGTAAGGACGTACCTCGCGGCACTATCCAGACTGTTTTCAACTACAAACCCTTCGATGAGGTGCGCCGACTTGGCGTTGATCCTGCCACGGAAGCACTTGTCCGTTCTTCGTTTCCACTGGAAACGGGGATGCTGACAGTAGCAGAAACGATTCCGGTGGGTCCATCGAGCAATAAATTGCAACCAGGCGACGTGTTGGTACGAGTGAATGGCGAGTTGATCACTCGGTTTGTACCGCTGGAGGCAATTCTCGACGATAATGTAGGGAAAGAGGTAGGTGTATGTAATTCTCGGCGAGATTGCTTGAATTTTGTTTGACTTATGATGATACCTCTGCGCTGTCACAGGTTGAGCTTCAAGTAGAGCGTTCTGGAGAGCTGGTAACTTGCCAGGTGCAGGTGCAAGATTTGCACTCGGTTACTCCATCACGATTCATTGAGATCGGTGGGGCAGTTATTAACCCTCTTTCATACCAGCAAGCACGGAACCATGCGATGAGTCCTGGAGCGCCGTACGTAGCGGACCCAGGTTATTTCCTCCAACGTTCGCGCATTGGTCGTGGTGCGATTATTCACTCAGTGAATGGTATTAAGACGCCTGATCTTGAGACGCTGAAGAACTACCTCAAGCAATGCAAGGACCGTGATCGCATTGTGGTCAAATTCTCGAAGCTGACGGATAAATCAGAGAAGGTTGAGGTTGTGCATGTGGACCGCAGATGGTTTCCGTTCTGCGAGTACGTGCGCGATGACAAGCTTGGAACGTGGCATTGTGAACATTTTTCACCACCTAGTGATTGCAGAAGCGCTGGCGCTGATGATAATGACAAGGGATCAGCCCACAATGAGCCAATTGGCTCAACAACAACCTTGCCTGGTAAAAACCCTGTGGAAAACAAGCTTGCACGGTCTTTGGTAACAGTGGATTTCGACAGACCATTCAGCGTGAATAGTTTATCAACGTCGAATTACCGTGGTACAGGGCTCGTGATCGATGCGAAGAAGGGGCTCGTTGTTGTAGACCGCAACACTGTGACTGACTCAATGGGCGATGCCATGGTGACTTTTGCCAGCACCATTATGGTCCCAGCTCACGTGGTATTCGTCCACCCGGTGCATAATTTCGCGATTGTTCAGTACGATCCGAAGCTCATTGGATCGACACCTATTGAAAGCTGCCAAGTGGCATCCAAACCGCTTGTGCCATCCGATCCGGTGTGGCTCGTAGGTCTCATGAGCAGTGTGGGGCGAAGCGGCCACTCTGACCTTGTGTCACGTGAGACGATCGTTTCTGGTGTTAAGTGGATTGGATTGCCAATACCCAATCCGCCGCGTTACCAGGAGCATAACCTAGAAATGGTATCTCTGCAGGACGTCGTTGGCACTGAAGGTGGCGTTATTTGCACCGACACGGGCGAGGTGAGTGCTTTTTGGGCTTCCTTCTCTTTTCAGCAGCAGCGCCGTAACTCAAAGGTGGAAAGCCAATTCAACCGCGGTATCCCGATGGATCTTATTATGGAAAGTGCAGCGCCGCTTATGTGTGGAGTGACACCCGAGATCTACGATCTGGGCGTCGATTTTGAGCATTTGAGTTTGGCTAAAGCTCGGGAACTTGGACTCGGACAAGCGCTAGCCGAGCTTTTGGAGAAGGATGCACCAGATCGCCGCACCATCTTGAACGTTGCACGGCGGTGGGGCGGTACAGAGGCACAGGATGTGCTTAAGAATGGAGATATCTTGGTTGCTGTAGATGGCAAAATTGCAACAAGTTTTCGTGAGGTAGAACGTTGCACACAAAAGCCGGAGGTCCAGCTCACGATCGTGCGCGATGGTCGCGAGATGCATCTGGACGTGAAGACTCTTTTTATGGAGCGTACGGAGATTAACCGCATCGTGTTCTGGCAGGGATTGTTATTACAGGCGCCACCATTATCCGTCTCGGCACAGCGAAGCATCTCGTTGGACGATGGCATTTACGTGTCTTGTCGGTATTCAGGCTCCCCAGCTGCTCGTTACGGTCCACCACCCACAAGTCGCATCAAGGAAATTGATGGGATCGAGATCAGAAGTATCGACGATTTCCTAAGCGTTGTTACTGCGAAATCTACGAACGACTCGGTGCGCATCAAGTATACCGACTTGAGTGGTAAGGATCGCCTCAGTACGCTGAAGCTAGAGCCTAAATACTGGCCTACTAGTGAGTTGGTGAACGAGGATGGCGAATGGCGTCGGCACCACCACTAGAAATAGTTTCTCTGGTCATACAATACGCATGAAAAGCTTGTCACTAAATTGTCCAAGCAAATCAAATGTAGTGAAAAAAAATTGCATTGTTTGTCTTTTCTACAGCGTTCCTTTCGTGTAAAATATAATTTATTCTTAATATCTTTCATGGTTATAAAACAACAAAGGAGGCGTTATTTATCACTTTAAATAAAAACATACTGACCAATCAGGTATTACTAAGTTTGGGGGGGGGATGGCTAGCAATTAGTTGATTCGCCAATCTGATTCGATAATCCCCGCTTCAGTGACGAAGAATTAATGAGTACACCACCCAACATCCATCAGCAGTATGCTACGCCTCCACGTGAGACGCCGGCGGAGCGTCGTCGCCGTCTGACCAATCGTCGCTCCGCCAAGTATCGTCATTTTCGATCGCTAGCTAATTCTCAGAATGTATCAGATCCAGTAGTCGAGCTCCAGCGGCAACAAAATAGTCGTAGACAGCGCGAGCGTCGATCGTTGCTGAATGACGAGGCACGCGACCGCTTACGGGCGCAAAACCGCCACCGTCAGCAGCTCAGGAGACAAAATTTGAGTGATAAAGAAAAGGCAGAGATTCGAGAGAAGCAGCGCACGCGACAGAGACAGCGTCGACAGATGCTGGACGATGACGCGCGCGACGAGCTCCGGGAACGCGATCGACTACGAATCACACGAAGACGACGACAGTTGAAGGCTTTGAAACGGCAGCAACAGGTTGAAAAACAGGTGACAATGCTGCCGGTTCAATTGGTACACCCAGCACTGACGGAGAGAGAGAGGCTGCCGCACTTGAGACTGGCACCAGAGCTACCGACATTACGGCAGCATCAGGAACAACAGAGACAGATGGAAATTCAGAGCAGGTTGCCATTTGGCGGAGGTTTGCAGATCACGCTGCCACCTCCACCGCCGGCAATCGAAAGAGTCAGGACGTTCCAGCACGAACGGATTCCGTCTCTGCCTCATTTACAGCAAGTAACGAGACCAACGACTTCGTCCTTACTGCATACCACACCGACGCCGCCTCTCTTTTCGATGCCTGGACCAACTAGTGGAGGAGCAGCAAGTATGACATCGGTTAGTGCAGTGGTTGTTGCGGCAACAAGGCCACCGCACCCGACGCCGATCATAGCGTCAACTAGCTTGCCACTGCCGAACAAACCGCTAACTGCGCTGCCAATAGTTCCGCAGCAGCAACAACAATCTCGGACACCGATTGTGCTCCCACCAGCACACCGCTCGCTTCCTCCATTACCTGACTTTCTCAATAGCCGCGAAGCGTTCAATCCCACCACTGCCGCCGCCTCTGTTACTGCTCCTTCGACGCGCAGTTCACGGCCTTCAAGTAGTGCTACTAGAGCTCTGTTCCCGTCTATTACCGACCTTCCTGCTGCGCACACCGATGCGCCAGACGTCGACTCTTTTTTTCAACGATGAAAGAGTCATGGACAGACTGTTAAAGAAGACGTGACGACCAAAACAAGAAGATGTCACCGTAATGCTGCTGTAAAAATATGGATGAAGTCTATTTGTTCTCTGCGTTCTGGTCGGAAAAATGCAGCGATCTACCGCAATGACTGCGAGTTTGTACAGGCTGCCGCCTTGCAAACGCGCATCGATGGACATGTAATATACCATAGCGCTCGAAAAGCTCATGCGTATAGGCGTCGCGGTTGCCAAGAGAACATCGCAAGCTGTGGTTTTGATAGATCAGCTCCTTTTGGCTGCTCCAATGTGAGGCTGACGAGTGAGATGAAGACACTGATGCTGGGGATGACGCCGTCTCGACGATAAGAATATAGGGTACCAGCGATTCCTTGACGAAGAGCGCCAGTGTTGATTAGCATCTTGAAGACCTGCGCGAGCATAGGTGCAATTCGTTGAAGCTGCACCAGGCTACATCGATTCCCTGCTGAACCAAAGGAAAAACCTGACGCAGCTGATGAGTTCAATCACGCACTGGGTTTGGTATCAAGTGGCAGCTCGTGGCTTTCCACGCTATAACGGGGCTACGCAACGGCTTAAAGACCGACTGATGTAAGAATTGAAGAGACATCTGCCCTCAAAGGAGCAATTTGCAGTCGCGTTTGGCGAGCGACAAGATGGTACTTGTGCCTAATAGAGTGGGCGCATTGCTGTCCCACCTGCTGATCGGCATACTTGCCCATATGACGCTAATTGAAATAGTGGTGATGCCACCTTCATGCATTATCGCCGGAGCGAAGACTATTTTCCCACGTTTTGTTGTTTGGTCTGCGTTATTTTGAATGCCTTCAGTCGCCCGCGCCCTATCACTTCGCTCTTGTGCAACTCGATCATGTTGATAGCCTGCGTTGAACGTCTCGGGTCCAAGTAGCACGCACTGCATAGCAGCATAACACTCTATAGCATTCCTTCTCCTCGAATAGTACTATCGATTACATATCAACACGATGCTCTTGCGCTTTTATCGTTTCGCGAGCTCTTTGGTATCAAAGAGAGATAACGTCCATGTCAGCCGACCCGATGGAATTGACTTGAACAAAGTATACTTTTTACGTGTTTGCCAACTGAGACCATGGCCAACGCTCCATTGTCAGACCATGCGGATGTGGCCACAGCGATGTCCACAAGTTGGCGTTATTGTCTGCACATTGCATACTACGGAACTGACTTCATAGGTTGGCAACGACAGCATCAGGAAGTAAAAAGTAGTTCGGGTCGCGATAGTATTCAGGAAGTGGTGGAAGCCGCAATAACGGAGACTTTGGGAGCTGCACAGCGGGTTAATGTCACTGCAGTCAGTCGCACGGACGCAGGCACCCACGCACTTTATGTAGGGTCTTATCGAGAGTGAAAGAGACATTGTCGGGGTCTCAAGACGGGGTTTAAACTAAAGGGTGATATGTGAACTTTGCATTCGTAGCAATTTGGATTCATCCGCCTCCACTCAGAGCTGCAGATGTCGTTGGAAGAGCTGAAAGATCGAGTCAATGCCAAGTGAGTATAGAGCTACGTTGCTAATGAGAAGTTCACTGATGACTATTTTTCATGAACAGATTGGGAGATGGTCGTGTGGTGGTGCATGGCGTGACGATTCCGACGACGGGTCCTTCGCGGATTCGATCCCGCTACAAGAAGTACATTTACTATTTGCAGCAAGGCTACCGACCAGATCTGGAGCTAGGCAAATACTCTTGGTTTCTTAGAAGGAGATTGGACATTCAGCGGATTCGTGACGCGCTCAAGTGAGTTCTAGCACGAGGTTTCGTGTTGAGAATGAAGACTAACTAGTTGTAACTCAGGTTTTTGGAGGGCACGCACGACTTCCGGCCATTCTCGCAGGGACTACAGAAGCACGAGTTTGCGGATATGACAACACTGCGTACTATCATTTCGACCAAGGTAGTTGTTCGACGGTGAGTAAACGTTTTCACTTTGTGTTGGTTGGCACAGGAAAAAGTTGCTGATATTCGTGGCGGTAGGAATGTGATCTTTTCTCTCGATCCAAGTGTGTGTGGTAGTGGTAAAATTGTCGACCCTGCAGACATGTACCAAGACGCATCAAGCAAAATTCTTATGGAAACGCTTCGGCCAGATGATAGAGAGGCTGCCGCAGCAGGTGAGCACAAGAAGCAGAATGTTGAGCAAGCAAAAGGTACGCCTGTGCATTTCGTCTGCATCGAGCTTGTTGCCAACGGCTTTTTGCGGCACATGGTACGGCGCATCATTGGAACGTTGCGGCCAATAGGCGAGGGCACTCAACCACCTTCCCGAATGCAGCGTGTGCTAGCAAATGAAGTCTTGCCCGGCCCGTCTGCGCCAGCAAAAGCTCTCTGGTTGTATCGTACTTGGCTGACGCAAGAGCAATATGATGCAGATTGTGCTGCGGAAGAATAGACTGGTATCACATTACACGCAGTCGAGAATTTCTGACAGTGCTATCGCATCAACTCTATAGCTCTTCGTGAACATCATTAGCTTTAGCAGCTTCTTCTCGTGTACCAACGTGCTCCAATATACGCGTAATGTGCCCGAGAACAACCTTTCCAATTTTCTCCGGTGAGTACTTGTCCACCATGTCTTTACGAGCTTGTTTGCCCTTGGCAACTGCTTCCTGCAATTATCATTGTGACCATTCAGTGCGGTACGTAGCATGCACATTCACAATTGATCTTACCTTAGGATGCTCTTTCACCCAAAGCAACAGTTCCTTTAGATGCTTCACAGATGGGTCAGCCCACATGTGACCTTGAAATGCGCCCTCCGTTATCTAAATGGACGACAAAATGCGTGAGAAATGAATTTAGTCGTAGCCAGTAACAGATCATAACCAGCGCTCCTTACCTCGACGAGTCTATCAATATCTAGCGGGTATGAGTTCTCCTTCGTCATGTACTCCGTGGTACCACTCCAAAACGTAGCAATCACAGGGCGCTCCATCGCCATAGCCTCAACATGGGGTCGGCCCCATCCTTCACCACGCGACGGAAGAACAAACGCTTTGGCAGCCTTGTACAACGATGGCATCAATTTCTGCGGAATATGCGGTGGCAATACATGGACGTTAGGCAGCTCTTTTAGTGGCTTGCTGACCGCTTCCATCGCAAACTTTTCGATAATATGCATAAAGTCTTCAGTCGACGACGATGTCGAGTGGTATCCATTTGTAAGCAGCACCAAAACGACATCATCTTGAGCTGAGAACACCTGGAAGTACGCCGTCAGCAGTACTTTCCACGCCTTCCTCTCCTCCCACTTGAAAATCGACAAGTATACTGTCGTTTCATCCGTCATGTCAAACGCTGTCTCACTCACGAGATCATAGACTTTCTCAACCTTTTTCGGGTCGAAGAAGTCAACATCCACAACTTCCGGTACGATCTTGATAGCTTCTGGTCTTACTCCTCCATCAACAAATATCTTTTCTTGAAACTTGGTCGGGACCCAGATCTCGTCCATCTTATTCATCCTGTCCGGCCATCCTTTCGGTACTCGATCCGTCTCGAACATGGTCCGTCCGACCTTATAGAGGGCACCTTTGGGTGGACAATGAGATGTCATGTAGTGTGCTGGCTCCCACGCCCCTGGCTCCGAGTGGCAAATTGCCAACGAAACTTTCTTCTGCTTGAAACGCCAAAAGAAATCTTTCTCTTCGATCCAATGCTGTTCCAGCTTTGTCTTCATGTCCATCGGCAGGTCTTGGATAAATAACGGGTTCATGGAGTCCCCGTGCTGGGTAATTAGAAGCTCAAAAGAATGTTCAAATGGCACGGACGTTTCTGTATCTTGTCTAGCTTCATATTTCTCCTGATTTCCAGTATTCCTTGAGCTCGAAACGCGAGTTAAAGCCGAAAGTCTCAGCGCAGCATCTACTGCTACGACGTACGAATGTGCTTCACTGCAATAGCCACCACCACTCAAGAAAGGAGCATACCATACTACAGTAGGAGGTCTAGTCTCATTATTAATGGACGAATGTGGTCTAAAAGCCTCAATGGACGTCGCTAGTAGCAGACACAGCAAGATGAGGCATATCATCAGTACGAATGATACAATTCTGACGATATAATGTAAATTTTGCAATGGAAAAAGGAAGTGTAAAGTTATGTTAGCGTGAAAGACGCTATATAAGGCCTTTTCGTCTCGTTATAAAAGACTGCTCTATTACAAACTGCATGTAAATGATTGTGTCTTTGTCTATATAAGTCAGGACGCGTACTGTTCCGTCCATTCCAATGCCGTCTTTTCAAAGTCCGTCTTGTTTTCGTGCATCTGCTTGGCAATCTCAGGTTCCAGTGGATTGTCCATATCTGGTTGTTCCAAAATCTGCTTAATTGCAGTCAAGCAGTGAAGCACGTTGAGTGTCGGAGCCCAATTCTGTATCACAGCAACAGTCAAAACACAATATCGAAACTCTCCATCCATCTCTTTTCTCAGTACCTCGTTAATAATGTCGGCACAGATCTCACCAGACTGTGACTTGACGTTGGGGTGGTACACCCGCGTCAGAAAGCGGACCTTGGGGGCTTTAAAGGGATATTCGATCGGGAACACCAGATCCAAGTTAAAGACACCACCAGAATACGGCGAGTTCTCCTACAATTGTCAGTAATAACAACACCTAGAATCAGTATCCTATACATTAATTTAGTGCAACAGTGAGTGCGACGTACGGGTCCGGCAAGCATAGCGTTCCAGTGCATGAGGTCGTTGTCCACGGCACTGACCGAGCACCAGTCGGGCGAGTTCTGCTCCAATGCAGCGAGTTCCTATAGCACATTGTAATCACGTTAACGATTAATAGCAGTGGACCAATGTTGGAATACGTACTTTAGTTAGACGACGAGCCATGATGTAACAGCTTTATATGGAAAGAAAAGATGTCGCTTAGGGAGATGCCAATTGAAAAGTGGGTGAAGAAGAATGAAAAAGCTCCGGGTATAGCTAAAAATACGCCGTTTTAAACGTATTTTAGGAGGAGGAGGAGAAGCAGCAGCTGGACACTGAATGGTACATACAATACCTTACTGTAGTGGGTCTGAGATAACCAGCTGTTATGTATATGGACGCCTACAAGGGGCATCTAAATGCATCAGTCGACCATCGAACTACAGTCGGTAGTTTTGCATTGCGACATTCTTTTTAGTAACGTAAAAAGCTCCTACTGTAGATTGATAATTTTAATGTCGAGAAGCGTTGAATGTCCTGGCAGTAGTAGTTTCCAGTGGATACAAAACCCTCGCTACACTCTCAGCGAGACAAGAAGCGCTAAAAGGCATATGCATACGATAATTCTTGAGACGCATGCGGCAGGATCATTTAGAAACAAAAGCAATATCATATAAATTTACTGAAGCTGGTGAATGAATCTTCATAACGAAGACAATGACATATCAAGATTGCATCCAGTTTGCCAACAAAATTCAATGAAATGGCTGCTATCAGTGGACCTACCACAGGAACACTAGATGACACCAAGCCTCACGAGCGCTCATTTAGCAATTAGACGGCGACCAATCCGTGCATGAAAAAGTAGAGCCATCCAGAAATTTCGGCTACTACAGTATACCCGAAGCGCTCCTGCGCAAACCGCAATCAAATCTCAAGGCGGAAATTCACTGTGGTGATTTGCAAGTGTCACGTAGCGAGGCAATCATGGCCCTCAAGTTGATGGATGTAGGTAGCAACGGGCTTGCAGCATAAATCAGTGGGTGCCATGCAAACCTGATCCGTCAAGTACACAAAGCACACACTAAGCGATAGCAAGACAGCGTTCCGTTGCTGCCAAGACCCGCGAAAGGCAGTATTCTTAATTTTGCGATACTCAGCCGATCACCGACTACGGCAGTCTCCAGCTGAGCCCAACGAGAATGAGCTAAGAAAAACGATACCAGAGTCACCAACCAGTTCATTTATAACGAGCGCCGATGTCGTCTGCTTTCACCCGTGCAGATGCTGATATTATGACTAGCATCAGCGACGCTCGTTGACTTTGGAACCACGTGGTGCCAACAGATATTCACATTGCAAAGTGCCCTTCAAAACCCGCTTATTGACGACCAAGCGACACCAAACAAAATATACAAGCAACCACAGTCTGTTTGTCTACCAGGCTCGTCACAGCTCCATAGTTGCCACAAACCCGTATTCGTTACGATACATGTTTACTGTACATTCGGTTCATCTGTCGGTGTGAGCTTCTCATAAGCTTTCCACGTTGGAGATCTCTTGACAGCAGCTTCTTGTATGTTGTAGTACCATTTATCGGGTATACTAAAGTGCAGAAGCCATGCAATCTACTGGTTGGCTACCGTTTGAGCATGGTGCAGTCAAGCTGACACAAGGAGCCCGGTTAAAACGAGGCCGTATCATCGAACCCACTCGTTTTTGACTTCTATCATCTTCGATATACACTCCACGTTCACTTCCCAATTTGGGCTTAAGAGCAACAACCGCCAAGCGACGAAGGCTTCCAAAGAGCCGGCATACCGGTCCTCTTACCTTCGGCGGTAGGCATCATCATGGGCCAAGGTTAAAGATAAATAAATGGCCTTCTTTCCACTGCGTGCGCCACAAATGCTGCGCATCGTGCGAATCTGACGGGGAGCAATAGGTGCGAAGTACTGAGGTGTAGTCGCCGGCCCGTTCGCCGAGCGCGACTTTCAGTCTCACGAAGTGAACTCTCCTAAAACGTGATTCCACTTCCCAATTCGAGCCTTCGAGCAACAACGGCCAAGAGACGAAGACCTTCAAAGAGCCGGTCAACCGGCCCCCTCCGACCAGGGCGGGAAGTCCCTCCAACGGGAGGCCCAGGATAAGAGGGGGGAGGTTTTCCCTCTGCTGCGTGCGCTATGGGGGGGCAAGCGCAGCGTGCGAACCGTAAGGGGAGCACCAACCCTGTTACCCCCGGGGGGGAGAGGATCGATGACCGCGGTTATCATTCCCTCTTTCCCCAATAGTTCCTGCTATTCTACGTCAGCCTTCAAGCCGCCGATTCGATCGCCGAGCGCGAATCTCGGTCCCACGAAGTGAACTTGCCAAGAACGTGAATTGATCGGCCCCGTCCAGGTGCATCAGCGGTCGATCGGGACTGATCGGTGTGGTGCCCGGCGCTTGTTGCGATCATTGAGCCACTGTTTACACCTCGGGCTGGATAACCGATTCCACGTGCCCTTTGCGAAGTGTCCCCCGTGACGCCCGACGTCTCGAGCCAGCAGATTGAGCCAGCGAGGCGAAGAATGACGAAGTCCTGGTAGAAGCACTCCAGACATCTTACCAATCCTTAATGGTTGAAATAGACGGTCTGTTCTTCTTCTAAAACGTGATTCCGTCCGTTCCGATTCCGACTGGAGCTGCATGTCAGGGATTAGTCAGGCTGGCCCGTCTGGGGCAGCCGGTTTGGTATCCAGCCTCACTTTCAAGGCGCCATCTGCCCCCTGCATGCGCTCGGGTTTGGTCAAACGGTCCCACGTGCCCTTTTGGAGTGCCCCCCCCCCATGAAGCCCGTCGGGTTGAGCCAGCAGAGGGAACTAGCGTTTAGGAGGAATGACGTAGCCATGGCAGAAGATCAGGGGACTTTCCTCATAGACATATCTTAAATAATCATAAGGACAGTCTGATCATCACCATCATCATCATATTAAAAGACGAACTATTCTTGATGATCTGTAGCGCTATCTACAAAACTGTCTGAATAGCCTCACGGTCTCATCACTTCTACTGCATAACAGTATGCTGCCACGAAATATAGTCTTGACAGACAAGACACTGATCGGTCAATGCAACAGATCGCTGGTTAGTTGTAGTAATTAAGATAAGGGCACATTGACATTGGCGAGACTGCTAATCCCATCACTAATACATGCCCGATGTAAGGATACTGATCGGTACCTGATGAGTTTAGGTCATTCAACAATTAGCTTCCTAGCTATCACACATTAAAACACGCGACTTACCGATGCATATCACCTTCTTGTTCCTTCTCCTAATGGTCACACACAGTATGTGCTTCTGTAACGTCATCAACACTAAGGAACGCGTCAAAGGAAAGAATCTACAAATTGACGCCAGCAACGCCCCCATGAGGAATGATATTGCCATCCTTCGCAATCTCAAGGGCAATATAAAGACTGCTGCGGTCCAAGACGATATGGAGGAAGAGCGCGGTTTTGTCGACAAATTAGACAGTCTTTTCACGAAAGTAGTCAAGAACTTTCAGAAGGACCCCAAAATCCCCACGCCGTCCGTGTCAGAAAGAGGTATCAAGAATGTGAAAGCGTACTTTGGGAAGCTTAAGGCTTCCCAAACTCCGCTCGAGAGAGGCTTTCTTTACGCGACCTTCCTCATCGTGATTGTCGGTATAGTACTAATGATGACGCTGTAGCACAATTCAATTAACAAGGTGAATTACGGACTAGATGGTGATGGAGCTAGGGTGTACTAATACAATCGTGCATGGACCATAAGTGTGTCCATTGGCCTGTTGTAGACCATAACTTCCAGTGCTGGTACCTTGTATACTCAAGCAAAACAATGTGGCCATGCTTGATATTAATTTCAAATTTCCATGCTTTGCGCACGGATCTCGATTCACAAGGCTTGCCAAATGCGATGGGTCACTGCTTTGTTGTCCAGAAAAAAGATCAATCTAGTTTACCAAAGTAATTCTCGTCCAGACTAGCGCTAGGATATGGTTAGTCCATAATGTATACGTAAGCGCACATCCGCTACGCTACGGTGGCATCAGTCTCAGTCACAAACCTCCATTTCCCAATTCCAATATATTGTCTACACGGATTGCGATGGTCGAGGAATCGAATCCACTACGTCTGCCAGCGTCGTAGACGGCTTATGGCGGTTTCGGAAGCGGCGTTGGAGCTTGTTCGCAAGATGGTTGAGAGCCATGACATTGATCAACACGAAAATTTTGTCGCCGTCATACACGATTTTATCGGAAGACGGACAAGTGTATACGTAAGGGTATGGGGCGCCTCCAGGTCCACCTTTTGCCCGGAGTAAACCGATCGGTAGGGTGTGCGCCACTCCCGACGTCATGTATTCAAAGAGCTCTCCATACAGTAGCTGCCGTCCACGGAGTTCTTTCGGGACCTCGTACAGTACAAAGCAGCTTTTTCCATCGAGTATTTTTCGGATGAACGTATTCAGCGATGGATTAAAGAAGCTCTGAATCAGCAAGTTGTCCGCAACATAAGACGGAAACAATGCACCGTTCATGAACCGCTCTTGGAAAAAAGTCTCGCTTTCGTCACCGCCGTAAAGCTTCTCAATTGTTTCAATAGTTGTGCGGTCTGATTCGGCTCCATACGTACTTACTTGTTGAACTGCAGTTTTCAAACTTCCTAGGAAGAATGTTTGGACCGCGGAGAAAACATACTTCACCACTAAACTTTTGCGCTGTACCCAATTCCTTTTTGACGTGACAGTCGAAGCCTGTGTGTATTGAACACTTACACGCTGTGCAGACGAAAGTGGACCATTATAGCTTGATAGTCTCGATTTGATTTCGTATTCGCCATCGGAGGCTTCCACAAATTCACCTCCATAAATTTTGCGCGGTGACCCAAAACTAGAAACGGGGTCCAAGAACCGATTGTTGTTGACATCTCGAAGCTCAATAATCGTGAAAATTTGGTTGAGCTGCAGTGCAACGTTTATCAGAATGGCGTTGAAGATTGCCTTCGAGTCATCGTATCCAGCTTCATTGCCTTGCGCCAGCACGACAATCGCAGAGGACGTGTAAATTCCAGCAGCGGTAAGAACGTGGTGCTTCTGAGGCGATCCGTGCACGTGATACACCTCACCAAACTTTCTCAGCTGAAGCCACGACACAGTGTCAAAAGTACCCGCGTCTACAATGACGACGGGGACGATCCTGTCAATATGTGGAGCTCGAAGTGGTCGCAAGAAGTTCACTAAACGAGACACAGACCGCTGCCCTCCGCTCTCATTGCCAATATTGCTGCAAACGACAATGTGACCTCCAGCAGCAAGTAATTCTCGAGATGGTGAAGTTGGGATCTGAGACGGATGACCACTAGCAGCGCATCGCATCATATACTCTCGAATTTCCTTCGGAATTCGTCTTTCGACGTTGTGCTGTGCTTGACGCGCTCGACTTAGCAAGTTACCGCGACTTTGTAGCAATGCCATGCTCAAGGATAAGGCGGCAACACTACTCATCGTTGGTGTACCAGCAAACGGTTTGAGAGAAGAGATGGATTCAGCAATCATATAGGCCTTCGTGCTTGGTGTAATGCGATACCAACGACCAGGATTGAACGCAATCTCGCCATCCGACTCAACGGCAATCAGAAGTACCAATCCATTTGACTGTCGGTGGATGTGCACCGTTGCCTGGACAAAATTCATCCCATGGAAATGCTGTGTCAGACAGCACGAGTAAATCTCGTTAGAAGCGCCAGATATGTACTCGGAAGCCCAAGGCTTTAGCATATGAGATTGCTCGGGTGAGACTTCAGGAATTTCCCCGCTTCGACTTGTGATCAAATTTGAAACCACAGTTGAAAGACCTGGGCATCGGCAGCTAAGACCCATTAAGCCCAAACGCATTTCATCGGCACAAACCAAGTTTTCTTTGCCCAACCCCGCGGCCTCTAGAAGCGTCCTGTTGTCAGAGTTGGTCAGCATGGCAAACATCTGCGTGTGTTCTTGTTTGTGCTGGGACACCGATAGAACACGTAGCACCGTAGCTGCATCTTCCTTGTTTCCATCGTCGGAGTATTTGTTGGGCAGAAAGAATACAGCCACAGCTCGATCTAGTTGTGCATTCTTTAAGTCCGTCTCTCGTAATGGAGACCCGTATACGAGAAACACGCGCTTATGATATCGAGGATTTTGCTCTACAAATCCCATCACCTCTTGCGGGTATGAGGCATTTTCGCCTGCTTTGTCAAACTGCATGAGCACTACGATGTGCGTTTCACGAATCAAGCTTCGACCACAATGCATCCGTTTCGAGACGAATGGCTTGCGCTTTTGGTTCTCATCCTGTCCATCTATTTCTCCTTCCTCCATGGCGGTATAGGCATCGTGGATGTTATTGTGTCGGGCATCATCTTTGAATGGAATTTTAGTACGCGAGTGAGAGGCTTCTGAAAGGCTTTGGCCAGCCACTGTGTTACATCCTTCGTTTTCATCATCGCCACTGTCGCTTTGATGGCTTTGAAATGCCTCCTCGTGATCTGGGTGGAAAAACTCACGGATAAAGTCTTTGGTCTGAGTAACTGACGGATTTCCAGTCACGATTACGTGCACTGTGTTCCTCGAGCCATCGTACTTCATCAAAGTTCCGCGTTGGTCTCTGTAAATAGCCATAAAGGCAGCCGACTCATTCGCGAACGTGTATATACCAAACACGATAATGATACAAACTGTGACCTGTCCAAGTACTGTATGAGGCGAAAAATCACCGTATCCCACAGTCGAGACCGTCACAAACATGAAGTAAATGGACGAAAAGAAGCTCCACGTTTCCTTACAGCTCGGATACTCGTCCGTGCCTTTATTTGTCGCCCTAAGAATTGTCTCCATGCCGTTCTCATTACTGCATTCATACACATGAAGTAGGAAACTGTTGGCATGTGGCAACTCGCCAAGCTGTTCGAGCGAAAACAGTATGGCAGCGAAAAAAAAGGCAAGACTCAATGCCTTGAACACCAGGAGCAGTACTTGCGAGAAGAAAGTTTTGTTCGGGTACCGTTTGAACAAATGGTCCACGACCACATATCCTACATACGACCGAATAAAGCCGAAATCCAACCACGATCGAAGGTATTTATTCCCCACCACAATCGTCTGGAACGAAATCGCAAAGTGAGCTACCACTGATAACAAGTCGAATAAATTGTGCAACTGCAGCACGAACGCCACTCTACCGATTGATCACAAAATTATCATTTGTCAACAACCACAACTTAATCAATGAGAAATACTGCATATGACGCACTTGTTCTTAGCCGCCAGCCATCGAATTCCATACCCGACACCCGTTGCAATCAGGAACAATGATTCAATCGACCACGACGAAAAAGTCACACTCAACAATCCACCACGCACAACTACATATTTAACAAAAATTAGTGTGTCGATAAAAGAAATTTTTAGCAGATGAGACCGTCGATGCCGTTCCACTTACTCCAGTTGATGCAGACATAGAAGCTAGTGACGATTTGCACAAGGTAATTCTTCACAACAAGGAGCATGTCAGTGCAAGAAATACTGAGCCATTTCTCAATAAAGGTCACTTACGACAACGTTCGTCAGCGGAGAGTCACAGATTTTGCGAAGCCGCTCGACGTATTTGAGCGAAGCCAGCTCGAGCCACTCGTAGACAAGGGAGATCGCGATAATAGGCACTTGGATGAGTAGCCAGTAACGCATTTGGCCCCATATGAGGTACCAGGACGCAGTATAACATCCAGCCGAGCTGTCTGTAATGGAACAGGCATCGACGATGGTCCCCACCAAGTCCGTCATGACGTTTCGTGGTAAAATAATGTAGACGAAATACCTAAAAATAACCCATGTCTGTTTTCTGCTCTGTGGTAAGGCGTAGAAGATACTGCTCTGGCTTTTTGCTGTACATATGCGACTTGACGAACAAGTATCTTCTGGATCGACGAACCTGAAGCATTTACCAGCATATACAGTGACTGCATTGATCGGCCCTGTCCAGGTGCATCAGCGTCCGATCGGGACTGATCGGTGTGGTGCCCGGCGCTTGTTGCGATCATAGAGCCATTGTTTACACCCCGGGCTGGATAACCGATTCCACGTGCCCTTTGCGAAGTGTCCCCCGTGACGCCCGACGTCTTGACCCAGCAGATTGAGCTAGCGAGGCGAAGAATGACGAAGTCTTGGTAGAAGCACTCTAGACATCTCACCAATCCTTAATGTTTGAAAAACGGTCTGTTACTTTCAATATACAGTGACTGCAGTGACGCCACTCGTAGTCACAAAGATTTGTTGAGGAACGAAAGTCAGAAAGTTCTGATCAGCGATTGTGTATTCTATTGTTGCCCCTCTTTATTTCGTCATAGCGGCCTCATATACACCAACAACATGCGAATCTCTTTATCAAGAGCAAAGCACTCTGCCATGCTTACTTCGTGGTCAACAGGCATTACCCAGAAGGTCGGTTAGCTTTTTATCGTTGTTTTCGTGAACCTAGACTTTGAGCCGAAATTTGTTGTTGTTGCTCCGCAAGCTATCGTACATTAAACTAAATTATGTCGAGCAATGTACGACCATTGGCCGCGCGAGATACATGCCCGAGACATGACCCCACCACTTTGGCTTCCGCGTGGTAAAAATCCCCCTGAAGGGAACTGAGGGGCTGAGACTTGGACTGGCTGGAGCTTGACAACGGAAATTTGAGAATGCGTCTGAACAAGTAAGTGGCCTGTCAAATTTAAATCGCATGGTAATATTCAGTTTTGACTTCTAATTTTGCTCACTTATCTATATCAATTCTCTTCGTGAAGCAGACCACCCGGACAGAATTGGCTGGTGGTCTAGTTTTTTCTAATTCTTTACATTTTGAACATGGTTCGCCATAGTCTAATTTTCTCTCGCTTCGGCAGCTGCAAATGGACATTTGTGGTGCTGCTTTTGTGCTAGTATTCGGTTTAAACTGTTGTCATTATTGGTACATTTCCGTAAACAATCAGCTGCAAGTCAGAACTTTTTTTTGGGCGGAGGATCGGATCTTCATTAGTGTTTATGACAGTGTACGTCGATAGTCTTAGTTCTACTGAGTAGCAGGTACATTGACCAAATTCCCCCCCCCAATAGGCTGCATTCAATATCTTTACGTGGTACGATAGTGAAGTTGTTGGTCACGAGCCTAGTCTGCGATTAAATTGTCTTTAATGATTCCCCAACCTAGTATCTGTCCTCAAGCGCTAGTCTAGATAAGTAGCCCCACAGCTCCAAAAATGAATATGATGAGTACGACAAAGAAGGCTTTCTCAATCGGAGTAGCTTTGGCCATAAGCTTTCCAAAGTATGATTTCACGTTCTTGATAACTCTTTGTGGCATCGATGCCTTCCGGAGGGGCGTGGCAATGTTGGGGTCCTTCTGCAGGTTCTTGACTTCTTTGCTGAGTTCTGAATTACTTGAAACAACGCTTTTCAATTTGTCAACAAAAATAATGCGCTCTTCCTCCATGTTGTCTTGGACTGCAACAGTCTTCTTATTACTATCGTTGAGGTTGCGACGGGTGGCGGTATCACTGCTGATGGGGGTGCTGCTGGCATTGACTGGCCGATTCTTCACTTTAACGCTATCCCCAGTATTGATGACGTTACAGAAGCACATACCGTGGGTGACCCCAAGGAGAAACAATACAAAGGTCACACGCATTTGTGATGAATACGGTTATGATGAAAGCTGTTTGTTAAATGAAAAAGTAGCATTTATGGCGATGAAGCATTAAAAATGAAGATGGAGCATTGAAAATGGGGTACATATTTCTATGCCGTGCATATAGGAAGGACAAAAGAAGATAAAACAAGCATTATCTATACCTATCTCCATTATAGAATTCAGTTCGCCCGGTCGCCCGTATAATTACATCTATATATGCGGTCGTGCTCCTCTTTATACAATTAACCTTTATATTCGGTCCGTACGTACGTCGACTGTCTGTCCGTGCGATTCGCGCACCTACCCGTCGGAACGACGGACACACACCCTACATAACGTTGTCCATGTCCGTCGTACTCCTTTCATATCATAAAACTAGGGTGTTCACCCGTCGTTCCGACAGACATGAAGCGCGAAGTCTACGCTGATAGTATATTTCCTATATATATATATAGGCATTCTAAGGGTGTCTACCCGCCATTCTGAGAAGGAAACGTACAATTGCCCATGCGAGAACACGCGGCAGTCAGCTGCTTCCGCGTCCGGCAAAGCGGCTCGGTACTCTGCCACGCGCTTACGTGTAAACTAACCATGTAAACAACGAAAACAAAGCTAGAAACATGTCCTGGCGTATTTTTTTATCTATATATTTTACCTCAAGCCTAATATCTTTTATAAATAACATTATTTTTTTTTAGCTTTTCGAATATTTTTATCATGTACGTAGTCTATCGCGTCCAATGCATACACATGTACAAAACAGCCAATCCGAATTTGTGCAGAACGCAAAATTAGCCAATCCGAGTGCCAAAAAAGCATTACAAACGAATGAATTTTATTTATTATACTAGACTAGATGTAGACGGGCGCTTCGTAAAGAAACTGCCACGTACTATGCGGGCACACCTTCAAGGAGCGCAAGAAAGCGGTTATACCGTCTTACCTCCGCGTGCGGTTGTGGTTGCGTTGGTCGGTCGCTTAAAGCGCCAAACCAACTGTTGCCGGCCGCTTAGAGCGATCCGCGCAACGAACATTTACAAGTGACTACTTACGTCACGCAGAAGCACATCAAGCTTCTCGTACACAGTGGGCGGTAGTTGACAAATTTAAGACTGACTTACTTATAATAAAAACTAAATATAAATTAACTACTGATTGAATAATATGTAGTGATCGGTGCTCATCTCTTTATAGGCGTATCCTTACGTGCGAGCTTAAATATATTTAAGCTCGCTGATGACGTCTGCCCGTGACTTCATGACGCCTAGTCCCAACTGGGCGTCATCCCCGTCGAATGTGAATCAATCAATGGATATCACAATCACGAAAGTGGGCCACATTGATGTATTTCACCCAAGTGAAAGGGTTAAGGTACCACGTACCCTTTTCGACCTATTATGTTCTTAACGGGCTCATGTAATTATTGGCCCGTTACACCACCCCCTCTTTAGAACAGATTTTACATTTTTGTAAAGCATCAAAAGCAAGAAGATGCCACCGAAACGTGGTAAGGCTGATGGGTCGCCTGCAGGGGTGCAATACAGACCAGCACATAGCGTACGCGCCGCGATAACTAGCAGCCGTCGCTACGTGTTTTTGTGACAACGCCGGCACCTAATGTCAGCTTGTCAGCAGAGAACACTGATCCATCCCACTATTGTGCCGATGAAGACTTGTGCGGATGAAGATTTGTCTCTCATTGTAGCCTACCATGAGAGCACGTCATTGCCATAACCTCAAAGTGGGGATGATTACAGTGAATTAATGGGACATATGTACCCATCACTAGAGGCAACCAACCTTTAGGAAGCTTCCATACTTCATGACAGCGAGGTTCATGCCTTGTCGTCTGCGCCAACGAGCGCAGAGACCACAACTGAGCGCGCTGCTTCGAAAGAAACAGCCGCGACTCAGCAGCAGGTCGGTGATTCTAAATTGACTACCTCTGTTAAATCTACGTCTGACGTCTTGACAATCCATAGTAAAGAGTTAGACTCAGGCGAGGGTGAGCAAACAGCCCCTTTGATTTCACAGTCGGCTTCACTAGCACGTCGTCGCGAGGGCGGCTACGTGAGTGGTTGTTTGCCAGAGATGCTACCTCCATTTGATTGGTCACGCATGAATGGTAATAGTACGACGCTGTGAAAGCGTGCCACTATTGACGCTAATAAACTCTTTAGCGTCTTTTTAACGTGGAAAAGGCAGGGCAAACCACGTGGTCGTGCTTTCCCTAACCCCGTCGTGTTGCATACGAACGAAAAAACCGACGAATGCGAGGCAGAGCTCCTGCGCCGTGTTACACCGCATGTAGATGCAGTGAAACTGTGGCCGCAGCAAATCAGCTTTGCTATGACGCGTGGGAGGGAAATCTTTGGCGATAAAGTACCCCCAAATATGTCTCGCTACGCTACTTTCGCTAGCTATCGGGTGTCAACAGAGCGAGTGCAGCTGTTGCTTCTTCTTGTAAGCATCCACCAGCCCAGGCACGTCGACACTCAACGCGTCAGCCGTTTCCCAAAAGTCGATGATCTTAGGGTATCCTTTCCATTGGACAATGATCTGGAGCTTTTGCTTCGCATGGCGGTGGGCCTTCCAACAGGGAAGCGTGTATTCCCACCGGCATCCACCAACACAGGTGGCGCCGGATAGGAGCGGCGATTACGCCCAACTATTCGCGGCTGTCTATCCTGTTGTCGTTAAGTCGCAGGCGGAGATCGCTGCGCTGAAGAAAGAGGCGGCTTATCTTTCGAGTCAAGTCTCGTGACTGAATTCGGATCTACGCGCATTGAATACGAGAGATCGTCAGGGTATTGACCGCCTAAAACTCCGTTTGGATGTACATGAACAACTGGGTGATAAAGGCCCGCGTCAAACGAGAAGTCCTACTCGATCACCAAGATCTCTGTCGTCGGTCTCGTATGCGGGAAGCCTTCCGCCGCCTTATCGGCAACGATGCTCGACTTACAGTCGACGTCACCATCGGTCTCTTTAGACTGGTTTGGAGATGCGATCTCTTGTGGATCCACATACCGCTTCAGACGACCCCCGTAGAACACGGGGTGCGTCTTCATATACGGTGGGGGAGTGGGCCAATAGTTTAGGTTTCCAATCTCCTCGACCACCGTAAATGGCCCAATAAATCGGGGCAATAGCTTAGTAGCACCAGCAGGTAGTACAGAAATTCCAACTGCAATACTTCATAGCACTTTGTCCCCAACACTAAAGTGTTCATTGTTTTTGCGACCATGTTGGTCTGCATATTTTTTTTGCTTGTCCTGTGCGCTTGCCATTGCGTCACGGACTTTACGTGTGATGGCTAATCGCTCATCCACGAAGCGCTGAGCTTCGCTCACGCTTTTAGCATCCAGCTCGCCTATGACGCCTCTAAGTGGTCGGTCATGGGTCGACGCTGTTAATAACATGATAGTGTCATCGTCAAGAAGCACTGGCATTTCTTGCCGTGCCTCCTCTGTGACACCTATAGGTGTCGTGACCACTGCTAAATTAGCAGTGTCACTAGGGCAAACTTGTCCCTCTTTGGCATTCGCACCGAGCGAAGTGAGGGGCCCTCCCCCATAAAGAATCGGGCTGCGCACAAACGAGACTGACGTTCGAGGATGACGCAGTCCGTTAATGTAAAACGGTGTTTCACCCGTACTTACTGTTATTAATAGCGAACTCCACGAATGGCAATTGCTTGCTCCATTCTTTAGGAGTCACTACTGTGTGCAATACATCCGCCACGACTCGATTGGCTCGTTCCGTTTGGCCATCGGTCTGGGGATGATCGGCTGTTGACATGTGAAGCTTGCTACCCAGCAACTCAAACACATGACGCCAAAAACCCGACGTAAAACGCGGATCCCAGTCCGATACTATGGACTCGGGCATCCCGTGTAGTCGATAAACGTGATCTAGAAACAAGAGGGCAGCCTCTTTTCCTGAGACATTGGTGCTACATGGTGTCAAATGCACCATCTTGCTCAGCCTGTCTACAAAGACAACGATCCCTGTCCTGTCTTTATGGTCAGGCGGTAAGTCAAACATGAAGTACAAACTGACCGAATTCCAACAATCTGTTGGAAATTCCAACAGTCCTTTGTGATTGACAGTGGCTTCAGTGGCGCACTGTTTGAAGGTGCAGGCTTTATGCGCTGACACTCTTCGCAAGAGCGAATATAGTTGGCCACCCACCGATATAGGTGGGGCCACCAAAATTCCTCTGACACTCGTAAGAATGTCTTTTCACGGCCCAGATGCCCACTAGATGGCGCATCATGGCACTCGTGAAGTATCATCAGCTTGAGATCTGTGTCATGAGGGACACAGATTCTCAAGGGATCACAGGGTGACAGTTGATGCCATAACAGGCCATCACTGTAACTAAAGCGATTTAGTTTCGCTTTGAGGTGCGACGGAAGGGTAACCTTTCGTCCACCAAAATGATCCAACAGCAGGCGATAATGTTCGTCCTGCCTGTAACACTCCTTGATATCGGAGGCCATTGAGCTCGTCACATGGTAGGCCTTCATGGCTGCCAATGTTGACGACTCAACTTGTGCTTTCTCACGAGACACACTATCCTGGTGTCTTGCCTCGAAGTCTGGTCTGCGCGATAACGCGTCAGCCAAGACATTCGACTTACCCGGATTATATTAAACTTTGAAATTAAATTCAGAGAAGAATGTTAGCCATCTTGCCATTCTCGGCGAGAGGTGCGGTGAATTTATAGCGGTCCGCAGTGATGCGTGATCCGTATAACCACAAAAGTTTCGGTGCCCAAGAGGTGCACCCAAAACTTTACAAGGGCATACTTAATTGAAAGTAGCTCTTTGTCATGCACAGGGTAATTCAGCTCGGCAGCTTTTAAAAGCCGAGACTGATAAGAAATGACACGGTCAACGCCGTCGTCATCCTTTTGCATGAGCGCGCTGCCGATTGCAAAATTGCTTGCATCGCAGACGACGCTAAAGGGCTTATCCGCGTCTGGCAATGCCAAGACCGGTGCCTCTACAAGAGATTGCTTCACTGAAGTGAACGCATCTTCTTACTACTTTGACCAAGTCCTTTCTGTATCCTTTTTCAAAAGGTCAGACAATGGCTTGGTCTGCTCCGCATAATTCTTGCTGTACTTATGCAAGTAATTAGCGAGCCCAGGAATTGGCGCAGATTTTTTACATTACGTGGGACTGTCCATTCCTTTTCAGCCTTTACCTTTTCTGGGTCTGCTCGTACACCATGTGCACCTACGATGCACCCCAGTACAGGTATCTCGGGGACCCCTATTACGCACTTTTGCAAGTTCACGCATAATTGGGCGTCCCCCAGAGTCTGCAACACAGCGTCTAAATGACGCTTGTGCGACTCTATTGCGCTCATACCGTACTCCGCCCTACTATGCACGAATACATCGTCAAAGTAATGGGGCGTGTAGGCACGGTATTGGCGCATCACGTTAGCCACCACTCGGTTGAATGTTGCCAGGCATTTTTCAACCCTTGTGGCATCACAAGCCACTCCCACAGCATACCGCTTGGTGTGCTTACTGCCGTTTTGGCTACGTCAGTATCTCTCATGAGAACCTGATAGTAGCCATCCTTCAGATCCAACGCGGAAAAGATAGCTGAATTTCCCATGGAATTCAACAAAACATCTTTCCGCGGGATCTGCGTTTGAGCAGGCATGGTGGCCGTGTTCAGCTTATTATAAGCATGAACCACGCGCCATCCACCCGTGGCTTTATGCACACAGAAGGTCGGGCTGCAGTGAGGCTACTTGCTCTCACGTACATGTCCCGCCTTGGCTCGCTTCATCGATGTAATCGACTTGTTCCTTCGACAACGGTCATTGCCTGGTCACACAATACTTGGTGCCAGGTTCCAGGTCAATCTCGTGTCTGATGCCCCTATCGGCCGGTAGGCGGCTCGGCAATTCTGCTGGAAACACATCACGGTGTTTCCACAGAACATCATTGAGCGGGCTTTCCTTCAAGGCTTACCAGCCTTGAGCAGCGAACCGTTTCTTTTTGTCGGTCTCCAAGACGCTCTCGACCATTGTGGATGAAGAGCAACAGTCCACCACGCTCTCTATTGGAACTGGTGCGACTATCTCGTGGATCTTTCCTTCCTTTAATTCGGACAGGAACAGATCCCACGTCATCTCCGAGAGATTGACTATCTCCTCGGCAGATGCCAAGACAAGTTGGAGCACCTCAACTGAGGATGCCTCCGGCATTTTGTCTTCGACGGCCTCGAACAACTCGTTCGTAGGTACATCCTCTTGGACCGAGACTGATCCAAGGGTCACTCGTTTCGACGTGCCCTTGATCGTCTTAATACGTCTGGTGCTCGTTCTTCGAGTCTCCACGACCTTTGACCTGGAAGAAGGTGTCGTTGCTATCGCAGCCAACGCACTCCTTCCAACCGCATCAGGCTCATGGCTCTGTGCCGGTTCTTGTGGCGCTTGACTTCCTGTCAGCCCACCATCAACTGCCACAGGCTCTCGGCTCTGTGCAGGACTATTGGACGCATGACTACCTGTCATCGCCTCATTCACTACACCAGTGTTTTCGACCTGGGTAGGAATATGTGTCACCTGGCTTTCCGCCAGTGCACTCACAACTACACCACTCCTTTCGAGCTGGGTAGTTCCTGGTGTCGATTGACATACCGTCATCGCACCCTCAACTGTGTTGGACACAGCATCAGCCACATAAGCCTCTCGCAAGAGCACATCCTTTCCGGTGTCTTGCGTAGAGCTAGCGACTGTGCGTGTACGCCATTCTATCCATGATTGGTGTTTATACAACTAAGGCATGCCTAGGATGAGGTCATACGGACTTTCCATACCTAGCACTGTGAACTTCTCTTTACAAGATAAGTCACTGAAACTGAAGGCGAGTTCAACTTGAACTCCCTCCGATTTGACGAGCGCGTCGTTTGCTAAATGAACGATCGCCTCTTCTCGCTTGCCATCCTGGCAAAGCGACTCATTGCTCGCCGGTCTCTTTTTCAGAGCCGCGACTTTCACAAAGTTTTGTGATGCACCCAAATCCACGAGAAGGGTCATCACTTGGTCATAGCCTCGTACTCGAGCGCTATAGACCAAAAGGGTTGAGGTCCGACCTTTCGGAACCTCAGGGACTATGCTACCCATTTGTTCGATCACTCTGAACTCAGGGGTAGCTTCAGAGTCCGCGATAGTAGGGCATCCCGCCCCTACTGCGCTCCCGCATTTCCCGACCCATCTTGGGCAGGTGCTGAACCCGTGCGTCGTGCACGCTGGTTTTTCGCACCTCCCTTCGGGTTGGGAGACCTTTTGCTGGCTGCCTTAGCACCAGCAGCTACTTTGGCATAGCAGCGAGCCATCATATGGCCTCGCTTGCCGCACTTGTAGCAGACCACGTCTGCATTGCCTAACTCCATAGGAGTGGCATCAGACCTCTCGGACGACGGCCTGTAATAGGCTGTCGCCGAGGCGCTGTTGTAGGATTGCTCCTCAACTAAGGCAATGTCAATTGCCTCTTCCATCGTCGCTGGCACCTTTCAGAAAAGGGCCTGATGCGATGGGCCATGCCTAAGTATATTCATGAACGTGGCTACCTTGATACGCTCTGTTATCGGTTCCCCATTGATGGACGCCGACAGCGAACGCATCTCCTGCACAAACTCTTGCAGAGAGCGTTTCTCCTGTCGTGCTCCAAAGAAGCGCGCCATAAGCAACACTTCGTTGTTAGGCGGCTGATACATGGCGCGAATCTTTGACTTAAAGATCGCCCATGATGGAAATGCATCAGCATTAGCCATCAGCGCAGAGTATGCCCACTCTGACGCTTTGCCACGCAAGTTGGACATGGCATACGACACCATTCTGGTGTCGTCTTCGATGAGCTGCGCCACTCCACATTGCTCCACTGCTAATAGCCAGTGAACAATCGTGTGAGGGATAGTTCCATCGAACTGCGAAGGGTCCATCCGAACGGGTCTTGGCTAATCAGGCCGGGCAGAGAGCGTCTCAACAGTCCTGTTGAGCGCCTCATTACGTGCCTGCTCAAGCCTAAGCTCATCCTGAGTCTTAGTGATGGACTCAACGGTGGCTTGGCTGTTTACCTCGGACGCGTTTCTACGCTGTCCGAGCACAAACGACTCAAATTGCTCCAACTGAGCAACATGTTGCTCAAGAGGACAATGCAAGAGATTGACCAGGGCTTGTTCACCAAGTCCCTGCGCCATATGCTCTGCCAACTCCCTATGATGTTGGGAGAGGTGAGGGAAGTCACTCCAGTCCATATTAAGGACCATGTCAACCACACGCACGCTCAGAGAGACGGGTCGTGGGAAGGACTACTAGTGCTACCAAGTGTAGACGGGCACTTCTACGAAGTTGCCTCGTACTACGAGCACACACCTTATGCACAAGCGAGGAAGCGGTTATACCGTCTTACCTTCGCGTGCGAGGGTGGTTGGGAGGTTGGTCGACTGCTTAAGCAGTCGTACCACCAGTTGCCTCTCGCTTAAGCGAGAGTGCAACGAACTTCTTAACGCTTACAACACCGACGTCACGCAGAAGTTTCTCAACTTTTCGTGCGTGGTGTGTTTGTTTAAGTAAATTCAAGACTGATTTATATTTAATAGATTTAAACTAAATATAAATCTAACTACTGATTGGTTAATATGTAATGATGGGTGCCATCTCTATGGATGCGCATCCCAACGTGCGAGCTTAAATATGTTTAAGCTCGCTCAATGACGTAACTGACTGACGTCATTTGATGACGCCTAGTCCCAGCTGGGCGTCATCCCCATCAATGTGAATACACCTAGTGTATATCACATACGCAAGGGTGTGACACATGGTGTGTCTCACCCGAGCGACAGGTCTTAAGTACTTACGTACCTTTTAAGACCTGCCCGTTAAGTATCGCATACTTAACGGGTACGTGTAACGTTGAGCCCGTTACATACAGCGTCAGACCACTGATGTAACTCACGCTTTGCTTCACCTTTGTATCCGTCAGCCATGCGCCGCGGCCCTCATCTTTCTGTGCCAGGAGGAGCGCTGGTCCATGGCATTACATGAGATTGTCACCAACTTCATCTCTTTGATTGCCCTCTTTAAGTGTCCCACTGACTTGTTGTGATGGAGTTCACAAGTAAGACTCTTGCTTCTCCAACCAGCACACACTGTTGGAAACGGTGTTTTAATTGCTACCAGGTCTCAAGACATCAAGAAACTGCCGTTTCTCAGGATTACCTTTTGTTTCGTATATTTTGGTTTGCAGGCGACAGAAAAGACGGAAGGTGAGCACATCTTGTGCAGGAGCAAGGAGCGGCTGCAAATCAGGGTGCTGGTAGGTAGGGCGCACATAATGTTGGTAATAAAACTCACTCTTCGAAAACACTTCTTTGGAAAACTTCCCACCTTTAAGTTCAATAGGTTATGAGCCCAATGGCTGTTGAGGAAGTGTTTAAAGGCGCTACGCCCGATTACGCAGGGGCCGCGTACGTGGAAGAAGCGTAGGCGACTGGTCGCGAAAGGGTCGTCACTGAAGAGTACTTGAACGCTCGCGAAAGGGGTGTGCCGAGTGTAAAATCCTTACCAGGAAGCGATATTGCGGCCAAGCTGGCTAGGATTTCTTCTCGCCTGGACTCGATGGAGAAAGAACACCAAGGGCCTGGCAAGTATCGTACTGAAGGCCAAGTGGTGCCATCTCGACATATGTATGTAGGTGGATTTGGGTCGATGGGGCACGCTCCGCGACCAGACGCGAAAGTGGACCTTGGAATTGGTGGACAAACATCAAGTTTATTTGCTAAGCGTAGTGAAGTTTATGGTATAAGTACCCGCGCGTGGCAAGAGCAGGCTCAAGCGAAGTATCGTCAGGACCTCGCAAACGAACGTCAGCGTATGCAGCACCAATTTCAGCATGAAATGCATTTAGGGGCTGCTGAATTGTACCAAGGGGCAGAGGAGCTTCGAGAAGAGCTTAGGCGCCAAAAGGAGATGAATGTGCGCCTACAAGAACAGCTAAATTTACGTGCTGAAGATCGTCCTATGGGATTACATGATGTGGGCGAATTGGACCCCAACTATGTCAAGGTCCCAAATTCAAGTGAAGGCAAGATAAGCATTGAGCCGTTCTATGGATCCGAGGTATACAAGGGCCTCGGAGCTGGATTTATTCAATGGGGTCAGCTATTTCTAGTAAAGATTGACTTGGCTGAACGAGCGTGTGGTTTTCGTTGGCCGGAGGAGTATAAGGTATCTCGATTTGGAGATTTTCTTCTCGGAAAAGCTGCGAGATATTTTAATCAGCGTGTACAAAGCTGGTGGAAAATGTCACCGTCGCTTGGATTTGTTATGAACAAGATGGTGGATGCATATCGCATTGTCTTATCAAAGCAACAGACTATCAAGTTGTTTGCAAAAAGGAAAAATAAAGGCCGGTCATGGAACGACCACTGCTTTACTTAGTGGCCCTGCAGGAAGCGACAAATTCTGGAGAAGAATTAAATTTGGATAACATTGTGAAGTACGCACAACCCGAGTCTCAAGCACTGATTATTGGGCAATACAGCCGGTATCACACAGACTACTTGACTCACGCTGAAGAAATTGTTTCGTTCATCCAAGGACTGGAAGATGAAACAGTGCGTGATAGACACACTGGTCGTGAGCTTGTGAATGCCGTAACGGATACGAGACGATGTCACAAGTGCAATCAAATTGGTCACATCGCGCGCCATTGCAGAAATAAAAGAGGAAGAAATGAGGCTAAATCCAAGAAAAGCGTTACACCAAGTGAAGGAAACAAATGGGCATTTGCTGCAACCGATTGTGATGATTTGAATGACGATGATTGGATTCTTGACACTGGTGCAAGCTGTCATTTAGTTCGTGATGTGTCAATGTTGAGCAAGGTTGAACGCTGTGCAAACAGTGAAGTGGTTCAACAACCGGATAACACACAATTGCAAGTTACCCAAAGTGGTAGAGCGCGCTTGCACGCATCTGTTGATGGGGTAGACACTGAGATTGAGTTGTCGTGTGCTTATAATTCGCCGCAACTGACAAGAATTTTGGTTTCTTACGGACGACTGGCAGACCATGGGTGTTTACTAGGGCAGTCAAATGGAAGACATGCTTTCTTCAAGAATGAGGCTGTGGGTTTTTACGTAACGATGAAGAATCACGTGATGGTTGTGGACCGAGCTATGGGCATCAAGAAAATTTTTGGCTTCGACGATATTGTAATGAGCGCGGTAGCTACCGTTAATTCTAAGCAGTTGGTGCAGAAGTACATAAATGTACTTCCACAAGCGCTTTGGTCATCTGAATTATGACACAATTGAGCGTCTAGCGTGCACGCCACGATCAGGAATTGAGTTGACAGATCATACACAAACGCACTGTTCAACGTGTGCGCAAGGAAAGCAGACACGGGCCGCACAGCCAAAACAAGACACTAGTGAGAGTGCACCGACGCATCGCGTTGGAGCAGTGATTTGTAACGACCTTATGGGTCCGATTACACCGCGAGACCGCAGAGGCAACAGGCATCTGGTCAACTTTGTAGAACACAAGACCAACTATTGTCATGTTTTCCTTGCTAAACCGAAGGATCAACTTGCGAAAAATTTTGAGCATTTTTCGGTTAATTTCGAGAAACGTTAGGATTGCCGCGTGCATGTTCTTCGTACGGATGGTGGTGGAGAATACAAGAACGTTGATTTATATTGTCGTGACACTGGAGTTGCGCGTCAAATACAGAAGCTGGCAACCAGGATGGTAATGGAAAGGCGGAGCGCATGCACCGGGCGGTGATGAATATGGTGCGCTGTATGATTTTTCGTGTGATTTACCACTTTCTTTTTGGGGTGATGCAGCTGAATATGCGGCTTACGTTCTTAACAGAATGCCAACCCGTTCCAACCCACAGCGGACGTCTCCAGTCGAAATGTTGACCGGAAAATCGCGAAGTCTCGTGAAATTTGTCGTGTTTGAGTCGCAATGTGAAGTATTCCGTGAACCCAAAAAGAATTCGCTGAAGCAGCGCTCCGAAAAGGGATTAATTGTGGGAAAGAGCGATGAGACAAAAGGATTTCGTGTGTGGCTTCCGCGTGATCGCATTGTCATTACTACACGCCACGTTCGTCGAGTCAAGACGCTTACTGATGCAGACAAAAAACAATTGGAGGAGGTCCTAATTAACGAGACCGAAATGGAACTAGCAGAATCAGAGAGCATTCGCCAAGATAAGCACGCTAGTGCAGATCGTCAAGTGACTATGACGACTCCAAGTGGACAGCTGGGAAGTCAAACTGCGGTGTGCACGGATGAAAAGCGTGATGAACCGATCAAGAACGAACTACGACGGTCCAAGCGTACGTCGAAAAAGTCTTTGCGAAAATCGGAGGCGGACTTGGATAATTCAATTTTATTGAAGCCATCGCGCGAGCTTTTAGAAGCAGTCAAAGCTGCCGTTTAGATGGACCACTCGCCAAAACCTGGTGATGTGGTGAACGCAGTAGTTGCTGCCGTCTCGCAAGTTTTTCAAGCCGAATTTTCGCATTTGCCTGATCCGAAAAATTATCGCGAGGCGATGCGCATTTCCGACAAGGATTTATCGGAGCGCGCAAATAATAAAGAGCTAATAGCCTTGCGTGCGAATCATACATGGAGAGTGGTCAAGGCCGAACCCGGAGTGCCACTTTTGCATACTAAGTGGGTGTACAAGAAGAATCGCACGAGTGACGGGGGAATTGAGCGTTACAAAGCAAGGCTTGTTGCGTGTGTTAATGAACAAGTTCTCAGGGTGAAGTTTTTGATGACTTTTGCCGCGGTGTAAGACATGACAAGTGCCAAGGCTATAATGGCTATTGCGTGGATTTGGCGTATACCAGCCAGGCATTTCGACGTACCAAGTGCTTACGTGCGCGCTGCTAAAGAAGATGGAGTGGATATACATCTTCATATTCCTGAAGGCATGAGGTTACGTCGGAGGAGCTTTCCGCTTATGGCGTGAATACCGCGAAGAATTTATTGCTTTGTTTGGAGAGAAGTCTGTATGGCTTAAAGCAGGCTGGACGGCTGTGGCATCATCTTCTACATGCAACGCTGACAAACATTGGAATTGTGCAATGCATGACGGACACGTGTCTGTATTTCAAGTCAGACATGGATAATACTACTCTTGTTGGAACCTATGAGGATGATCTCTTGGTGACTGGAACCAGTAATCGGCGTGTGGACACTTTCTTTTCGCAGACGGCGTGCCTTGAGCTGAAGGATCTTGGACATGCCGAGAAATTTCTTGGAATGCGTGTATTATGATTCCGAGTCAGGATACAAGATTGGTCAAGAACCAACTATCCCTGAATTGCTGTTCAAGCACGGACTCGGAAAAGAAAATTTAGTGCGAGCTCCGATGGGAGGAGACCTTTTGGATGATGATAAATATGGAGGAGGGGCACTTCTGCCAGCAGATGGTCCTGGTTCACCTGAGCGCCCGACTATTAAGACATTGCAGTCGCTGCTCGGAAGTTTGCTTTGGATTGCTCGCTGTATGAGACCGTACATAGCGTTTGCTGTACACCATGCTTATCGACGTGCACACGCACCAACCATCGGAGATTTGAAGCTAGCGATATGTATCTTACGCTACTTGGCTGGAAGTGCTGATCTTAAATTAGCTATGAATTGCGACGGTGGTCCCAATATACCATTACGGATCGAAATTTTTACTGATGCTGATTTTGCTGGAGATAAGAAAGACAGGAAGTCCGTAAGTGGCGGAATTGTTCGGATTAGTGGAACAATTGTGGGGTGGCATTGCAAGAAGCAAACGGCAGTGGCGTTATCGACCGCTGAATCGGAATATGTGGCTGCGTCCATTGGCGCCAAAGAAATTCTCGTTTTAAAATAGTTGGCTGGAGAACTTGAATTTGAAGTTGCGCTTCCAATGATAATGAAAATGGACAATCAAGCTGCTATTAAACAAGTGGAAAATGAAGCAAATTCAAGCCAGGCAAAGCATGTAGACGTCCGCCTAAAGTTTATTATTGATTACTACAAGAAAAGCACAATCAAACCGACCTACGTGAATACGCACGACATGCTGGCTGACATGCTAACCAAGTCACTCCCAGCGCCTCGACTTCAAGCTTTGCGTACTATCGTTGGGCTAAAATTCGCGTGAGCCCTGGGGAGGAGTGTTGGAAAACGGTGTTTTAATTGCTACCAGGTCTCAAGACATCAAGAAACTGCCGTTTCTCAGGATTACCTTTTGTTTCGTATATTTTGGTTTGCAGGCGACAGAAAAGACGGAAGGTGAGCACATCTTGTGCAGGAGCAAGGAGCGGCTGCAAATCAGGGTACTGGTAGGTAGGGCGCACATAATGTTGGTAATAAAACTCACTCTTCGAAAACACTTCTTTGGAAAACTTCACAGTTCAATACATACATTTCATAAAGCAGTACCATTTTCCTACAGCTGAGAAATTGTCGAAGGAGATAATTTGTCAAGTCAGCAAAAGCGAATTAAAGCGATGGGTCAGCACTGAAAAAGCAGAAAGGTCAGAGGTATCAATGGCAGTGGACAAAACTATCTTCCTGTGAAATGGGGTTAGTTAGACGACAGCCTCTATCGAAAACTAGCAAATGAATTTCTCGTCCTACAAAAGTGAGACTGAAATTACGCTCGTCTGGCCTGGCTTGCTCATCTTGCTCATTGCTCCATTGCCTTCTCGCGGACCTTGTCTTGATATGACTCATCACATGTGCTAACGTCGAGCTGTCCTCATAAATTCAATGCAGCACACAACGTCACAGTTTAGCAGCATGAAGAGCTCTCCCGCTTCGATGATGTGCAACTGAGATCAATCGTTTCAGGTACGTAACTGCAGCAGCCAAAACAACACGGGTTCAAGACAACTTTATACAAATCACCACACATTTGCAATTCTACCTTATACTGGTATACGTACATATCGTCTTCATGGCCCTTGTGCAAAGCCGAAGCAGCAATTGTCTGAAACGCTTCTTCCACACTCGTCGCTTCTTTCGCACTTGTTTCATAGTGCTGAATTGGCTAAATCACTCCCACCGTAATAAACATCAACACCAATCATGTAATTGCAGCACTGTCATATCCACTCACCTGTTGGACGTTCTTTCCACGGCACCACTCGTGCGCCTTCTCCTTGGGAACCTGCACCACGATTATGATAAGTCATTCAACAGCCACAATTTCTAGACCCTCAGCCCAAGTCAATTATTTCTCCTCACTCTTCGTTCCGACTCCTTGTCCACCTTGTTACCCAGTACAATAAACGGAAAGGCATCCGAGTCTCTTGGTCCTGCCTGTGCCAAGAACTCGTCTCGCCACGTGTCCAGCTTCTCAAAAGACTACAATGAAACGATAGAAATGTCAGCCTTCTGCAGCCTCACTACTACATCTTCACTGTTATTAATTGCCTTGGGGTTGGTAATGTCATAGTCCAGCACACATGCATCAGCTACACGGTAAGAGGCGAGAATGGTTTGAGTGCATCAATAGAGTTTGCCGATGGCCCGTAGTGTTTCATTCGCTTCGTGACAAATTTCCTGCGTCCTGGTTTCAGACTCGGAGCTTGAGTGGAAGATGGGCCAGCGTGCACATAGAATAAAACTTCGTTCGCAAGTAGCCGTTGCACCTCGCGACGAGCACTTGTTGGTAATGCGGAAAGGTCAAGAATGTCGCGCGTCTTTCGAGCGTCATTGAATCGCAAATCGTAGGAACCCAGACAGCGCGGCAGCGCTCTGATTACAGTTGAAACCACTTCTAATTCCTCCAGCTCCAAGAAACGAAAACAGCCTCCATCATCATAAATAATATCGAAGTCACTCGGTGAACTCCGTGGATGGCCACCACCAACGCTCTTCCGGATTACTCGGTCGAATTGGAAGCACTTCAGACGTAAAACATTGCCGTGCCACGAAGCGAGTGAGTCGCTCTGTCAAATCAAATGGAAGCGATACTAACACACTGTTACCGTCTAACATCATCGATGCGTTTGGCGAGGCGTTCAGAATGATGTTGTTCTGCTCGGACAACCTTAGTATAAGCAGCGGTGTTGAGATTTCATGGGCTCCATGGCGCTGAAACACTTTCTATTCAACCATGACATATTTCGCTTAGACTCAAGCACAGTATCCGCTACAAAAGATAAAATGGTTCCCAGCCTGTAAAACATTCCTGGCGTATGTTTTGCGCGTTATTGGACCTCGTAGCTGCACGTTTTAACGGACTTCAGATGATCGTACGTGTAGTCGGTGTGATTAAGAGACTTCGGTGAGACCAGGACGTCAACAAGTTGACTAAAAATTTGCCATGTGGGTTTGCGAGAGTTTCCAGAGCCTAGGAACCTTCGATCTCTACCTTAGCAGGCAATAGTGGTCTCGCAGTAGCTCCTTCGTGTTCGGCCGTCATGATGGATCACATTCGCAGAGCCACAAAATTATCGTTTTTTCACCCATAGAACCTGGCAGCAGATGACTCGTTTGAATCGGATAATATTAAGCCAGTCATAGTTTCTCCAGAAGGGGAGGAGTCACCGTTGCTATCGTCGTCTTCCGTGACCTTGGAAAGTTGAACGGCGAGACCAAAATCTCCTAGCTTTACACTTCCGGCGAGTCCAGAAACAAGTTAGGTGGCTTGATATCGTGGTGATAATGCCTTGACGATGTATATAGACAAGCGGCACCAGGATTGGTGAAACATCGTCCAAGTTTAGTTGGCGTCTTTCCATAGACCTCCCTTGTCTATCGCCTCTCTGAGAGCGTTTCCCTCGCAAAAAAATCTCCATCTGCATGTACAATTTCTCGAGCTTCCTCTTGTCCTCGAACACAGGATTTCTATGAGGCCGTTATTCGCCGAGATATACAACATCTCCATCGTCACTGAAGTCAACCTCGTCCATCGGAGCTTCTTCTAGCGCTTCCCACTCAAAGCCATCATCAGGAAAGCTTTCGGATGCGCTTTTATGCGAAGGTAGCATGTATGTTTGTCTTTTACTACGCAGATCACGAGAGTCGTGGCGAGACGTCGATACAGGCTACAGTCCCGTGCTGCTGCCTATCGTGCCTTTGCCTTCAATCCGTGCCTGAAAGTACCGCACGATATGTCGGTGCTACATTCGTACCGTGTCTTTACTTCACGCAAATCTTCTTCTTCATCGTTTTGTCGTCCGGGTCTAGCTTGACCTTCTTGACAAGCGTAAAGCTGTCGGTCTAGACGATTACGTACATGCACTACCTATCCTCCGCGTCTTAGCAGTTCTACTCGTTAAAATCACCATGATACTTGGACTGGTACCGTTTTGAAGCCGCCACTGCGTCCAAGTTCAACTCATCCGAGTCCAAATTCAACACACTTGACACACTTTCATCCCGCGTGGAACCTGCATTTATCTGCTGTTGGTAACTACTTGATGTCTCCCACCCTCACTACCAATACAGTCTCCATCAATATTAGATCGGTGTATCCTCCGTCTCCTTCATGTCTTCGTCATCGTCTCTCTTTTATTCTCACAGCGTCAATAAGCGCCAAAATTGCCTCATTCTTGACTTGAGACTGTTCTTCTTGTTGCTGCAGCACTGCGTCCTCCACCATAGTATCCTGTCTCTCTCTATCCTGTTGCCGAGTCATCATTTGGTCGAATTTGTTGTTGGTCCTTATGATGTTCTTGAATGAAGTCAGTGGCAAAGACACGAGATCGTACACGATGCGTCCCCCATTGGCTCCAGCGCGAGTTTCTCCATCCCACCGTCAGTTTCTGCGTCTCCGCATCATACAAGCCGTGCTTAGCTTCCACCGTAATATTGGGCGGCTATTGATTGGATACGCCCGTGTCAAGTCGAAATGCAGCAGCACTTCGGCCGTCGTAGCTAGCAATCGGATAGTGAAGATGTAGGCGTATAGCGGTGTAGAGCTCTGCATCGCTAGGTCTTGATCGCAAATGACTTGTAACACTTCCAGCTCTTGGGTCTGTAGCTCGGATAAAGTAGCGGCGTCATAAGAGCTGAAGTGTCGTGGGTTACACGTTTATAGAAAGAGAATAGAGCAAAAATGTTGAAATGGTTAAGGAGAGGAGATGTAAACGTAGCAACATACCTCTTTTCTTCCCCTTCTTCCGACTCATACTTCAGTGAACGAGGTGGTACACCGATATTATTGGATTGTGAGAAAAACTTGCCATGATTGAGGACGCTATGTAAACTCGTGCATATGATGAAGTGATTAGAAAGGCCATGAAGAACAAGACACACAGACTTGCAATCTGTCACAAGTGGCTCGAGAGGATGCATCTCTAAAGACTTTAATACAAATGCTTGAAAAATAAGAAGACGAATGGCATCTGCAGCATTGTGATGGACACCCTATCCAATGCAGTAGAAACTTCTCGATCACGTAGAAACTAGCGTGCTTTAACCGTTGGTGTATTATCGACGAAGCTGCAGGAAACAACCACTTTTACTTGATGTCACTCTTTTTTTGCAAGTAAACAGTCAGGAGATCACTTGAGAATTTGCTGCCTGCTAACGGTCAGATTATTCTGTGTAAATTTAGTGCTTTAAGCCACATTCTGGCAAGTTACAATGCAATGTGTAGCGGAGCTACACAGCTCTTTAGCCAGAGGAAGACTTTCGGCTGGAAGCCTCTTAGTTCTAGAGAACTAAATAGAGTGAAGGCTAAAAGCCACTTAGTTCTAAGGAACTAATTAAACGACTTAAAGTCACCCTGTTCTAAGGAACTAGGAAAGAGCCTTTTAATCAATCAAGCAATATGCTTAAGGTTCAGAGAACCAACGCACAGAGTGCAAGAACAAGCTAGAAGCTTAGGGGTTCAGAGAACCAACGCACGAAGTGCACAAGAGAACAAGTCAGAACGACTTGCGATCTTAAACTCAAAAGGAGAACTGATTTTATTTATGCTTTAAGATTTTATGAATAGTCCTACTTTAAGTACACTACACTAGATTAATTACTATTATAGTAATTATTATATGCAGACTTTGCTATTGGACGACGTATCGTCTAAACATCTGTGTATGATGTACTTAATACAGCGTTATCGATTATCGAATCCGAATCGATAAGATACGGTATTACCGAATACCGTATTATAACGCTCATACTTAATACCTCTCTAACGAGAAGTATAATAATGCATTATATGCAATACAAAGGAGAGTTTAAGCGTAAACTCTCGGAAAGACGTTACAACCGTCGTGTAACCCCGTTACACCCTCCCCCACCAGACTGACGTTCCCATAGAATGTCACTCGACATCTTTCCTCATAGAGGTAGTGCTTTAGCGAACTTTTAAAACCTCACGGTTTGTTCACGGCACACAACATGACGCCTCCCGGCAGTGAGTCACAGACTCTTAGGGACCTTATTGAGGACGACCTTGACGAAGCGGTTGATTACGAAAGTGACACCGTCTTTGTGGGACCCGATGGGTCCCCTTTAGCCACCCTCACGGGTGAAGATGACACTCGTCATGCACCGAATCCGTTCCCTGAACGTGGTGCAGCAGATGCGCTAACAGCGTTACGTGACCCGCCTGACGTATCATCAACGGTAACGGTTACCAATCCACTCGACGAGCAGCAACAGCGGTCCATCGATCAAGAGGAAGGCGCCAAGCGCCGAACGAAGAACATGACGCGGCTGCAGGACCACCGACAGTACAGGTTCAAGCCACCTACGGTGGAAGAACGTCTAAAGGAAGCATCTGGGCATTCCCTTTCTGGTTGGACCATTGGGCCTGAGGCCATTTCACCTGAGGATGTTGCCACACGCACGGCACTTCGACAACGATATCTGGAGCCCCATATCACTACTCAAAGCCAATACTTGGCACGCCTTAATAGGCAAGTGCGCGGTGCACCAGTTCCTCCGATGAAGGGTGTTCCCATCCTTCTGTTCGCGGGGGAAACCGAGGAAGAAGAAGACACGGCTTTCAGCCGCTGGGCGCATTATGCGCGACGTTTAAGCAGCATGTGGGCCCTACGGGCAAGTGCCGATGTGGCAGATGTTCGACTTGAGCGGAAGATGCGTTATGATTACGCTAAATTGAAGGCCCGGGGGAAATTGAAATCCCAACGAACGCATTATGCGCCTGCTGCCCAGCAGCCCAATGTTTCGGCTACCCCTGCAGCCGCGAGTTCACGACAGCCCGAGGCCGCTAACCCGCCTACCCTCACCCTTACTGGTGAGAAGCGTCAGCGCCAACAGACAGACCCTGCGCACGACGCTCAAAAACGTCCACGGCGTACGGGCAATCCTGCCGAAGGGGAGTCTCAAATTCCCATGAATTCCATGATTCGGGATAACCCCGCCATTTCACCAGATACTGGTTTTGACCATGGCGGCGACGCTTCTGCAGTAGACGCTCCACATGGAACTGCAGGTTCCCCTGCGCATCGAGCAAAGGAGGAGGAGGTCGGTGTATCGGAACAAGCTCATGCCGAGCTTGTTCAGGAGGTGCGGACCCTTCGTGAGGAGAGGCAGACGATGAACTCCCGGCTTGAGTCCCTGGAAGAGAGTCGGACCCGAATGCAGGGTCAACTTGACTTGTTGGTGCAGATGCTCCGTCCCGCGACAATGCCAATGGGCCCGGCGCGAGCGCCTTAGCGTCTATTTGGGACGGATCCCGATAAGGTTTCAACATGGCGACATAGAACACAGGATGTGTACGCAATTTGCGCGGCAAGTTAAGCGTATACGCTGTGCCTTTCTTGGCAATGACCTTAAAGGGTCCGATAAAGCGCGGACGCAACTTCGTCTTAAAGACAGCGGATACTACATTGGTAGGTAGGTTTTTAGCATTAAGTAATACTTGGTCTCCGACCTCATAATCATTAATACAACCTCTGCCTTTCGCATCTGCATATTCCTTTTGTTTATCTTGACTATCAGCCATTGCATCTTGCACATGTCGTAAGACATTTAGTCGCGTTGCGAGAAACGCATTTACCTGTTTCCTAACAGTATTAGGGCTGACATCAGCAAGCCGATCGGCAACCTCTCCCCCACTAAACCCTGAACCACTCGGTGGTAGCGTTAACGGAACGCGTGGGTGTGTGAGACCATTGACATAGAACGGAGTGTAGCCGGTGGAGGCGTGCACGGAATTATTGAGTGCAAACTCAACTACAGGGAGCATAGAGCTCCAACGCTTAGGCGTTTCAGCACAAACGCTGCGTAGGATATCTTCAAAAACGCGATTTACGCGTTCGGTTTGACCATCGGTCTGCGGATGATCCGCCGTGGACATGTCCAAACGGGTGCCCAGCACCTGGAAGACGGACTTCCAAAATTTACTCGTAAAACGAGGATCACGATCAGAAACAATTGCCACTGGCAAGCCATGTTGGCGAAACACCCGATCGATAAACAGCTCCGCTGTACCCACACCATCGATAGAGTCTGGCACAGCCGCTAAGTGAGCCATCTTGCTCAAACGGTCAACAAAGACCACAATACCTGTATTGCCATGCGAATCTTTCGGTAGGCCAAATACAAAGTCCATACTAATGGACTCCCAGCACCCAGTGGGAATAGGCAAACTAGCCAGCGGCGCTGCCGAATGGGGCGAGGGTTTCACCCGCTGACACATTTCACACGTACGCACATATGTGCTCACCCATTTGTATAATTTGGGCCACCAATAACTTTGGCATACTGCCCCATAGGTCTTTTCACGACCCAAATGACCACCGATGGCGGTGTCATGTACCTCATAGAGGATACGATGCTTCAGGTCCTCGTCATGAGGAACTACAATACGCGGAGGATCCGCTACATCTGTACGATAGTACAACAGCCCCTCATCGATAGAATATCGATGGAGGCTTGCACGCAATCGTGCCGACAATTTAATGTTCGAGTCTTTAAACTCCTCATTGCCAAGAGCATGTAGCAACGCTATACAGTGATCATCTTTAGCATACGCCGTACGAATGAGATCGGTGATAGAAGACGACAACATCGTCACATGAGCAAGCTCATAATCAGGTCTGCGTGGCAACGCATCAGCCAAAGCATTTTGCTTGCCCGGCTTATATTTCACCTCGAAGTTATATTCGGCAAAGAATGACAGCCATCTGGCCATTCTCTGCGAGAGATGCGGCGACTGAGTCGCAGTGCGTAACGACGCATGATCGGTATAGATCACAAAAGGCTTTGAGCCCAGCAGATGAACTCTGAATTTGACCAGGGCATACTTCATCGCAAGTAGCTCTTTGTCGTGAACTGGATAGTTCTTTTCTGCAGCTTTCAGCTGGCGAGATTCAAAAGCGATTACACGCTCACGGCCTTCATCATCTGATTGTAACAGAGCACTGCCAATGGCAAAATCCGATGCGTCACAGACGACGCTAAACGGTCGGTCAGGGTCTGGCAAAGCCAAAATAGGAGCATGTAGAAGGCTTGCCTTCACTGCTTGAAAAGAATTTTCGTGTTCGGCATGCCAACACCATTCCACATCCTTTTTAAGGAGATTGGATAACGGCCGAGCCATATCAGCGTAATTTTCGCTATACTTGTGTAAGTAATTGGCAAGGCCAAGCCATTTACGCAAGTCCTTCTGAGACTGTGGAACAGGCCAATCGACTATGGCTTTGACTTTGGCGGGATCCGCTCGTAGTCCTCGCTTCCCAATGAAGCACCCTAGAAAGGGAATTTCTTCGGCCCCGAAGATGCACTTAGAGGCATTAGCATATAATTTATTAGTGCGCATGCACTCGAGCACTGCTCGTAAATGAACAATATGGTTCTCAATATCTGACCGCCCATGTTCAGCTCGGCTATGGACAAAAATGTCATCAAAATACGTCTGTGCATAACTTCGATGGGGTCGAAACAATTGCGTCACCAAACGGTTAAACGTAGCCGGAGCATTAGATAGCCCCTGGGGCATCACTAACCACTCCCAGAGCATAACGCTCGGAGTACTAACAGCAGTAAGCGGAATATCACTAGCTCGCATGAGCAATTGGTAATAACCATCGACTAAGTCGAGCGCACTGTACATGGTACAACCGACCATATTGTTTTGAAGAACATCCTTTCTAGGTATCGGTGTCTGTGCAGGTATAGTGGCCGCATTGAGCTTATTATAAGCATGAACAATACGCCATTTACCATTTGGTTTCTTAACACAGAAAGTGGGTGTCGAGTGCGGAGATTTACTTTCACGCACCATGCCCGCCGCGTGCTTTGCACGAAAGAACTCGTCAATGACGTCACACTGTTCTTTGGGTAAAGGCCACTGCCGTGTTACACAGTATTTGGTTCCGGGAACCAAGTCAATTTCATGACGTACGCCCCTATCAGGTGGTAGAACCGACGGTGGATCGTGACACACCACGTCCTGGAATTCTTTTACCAAAGGATAGTAGGGATCTGAAGGGTCCTTTAGAATAGATGCCCCACTACGTGCACTTAGTGCCGCTTTGGTATCTTCAAGGACTGTCTCATCGACAAGCGAGGATGAGTTCAGCTCGAGGTTAGGTCGAATGACCACCATATCGGACAGAGCACCTGCCTTCAAGGCCTGATGAAATTCATCCACAGACATTTAGCCTAGCTCTAAAAGAGCATTTAATGATGGGAGGGCCTCAAGGTCAACCTCACCATCTACATCACCTGTCACTCCGTTGACCAGGGTGTACAACTGGTCATTGACATTACTATGCGATAAAACAGACGCTTTGCGTCTCGCAGCCGCCATCTGGCGACGCTGCCGTCTCCTTGACGAGACCGTACTCTTCAAAGTACTTGGGATGTTATCGTCCCCAAGGTCAACAGACCCCTTGTCGTTTACCTGCCCTATGTAAGGGCCGATGTCATTACCGACACCCAATGGGTCACTAGTACCAGTGACTTCACTAACAAGGTCATTGACCTTCACTCGCTCTATACGAGAGCCGATGTCATTACCGACACCCAGTGGGTCACTAGTACCAGTGACTTCACTAACAAGGTCATTGACCTTCACTCGCTCTATACGAGAGCCGATGTCATTACCGACATCCAGTGGGTCACTAGTACCAGTGACTTCACTAACAAGGTCATTGACCTTCACTCGCTCTATACGAGAGCCGATGTCATTACCGACATCCAGTGAATCGCATTTCCAGCCAATATCACTAACAAGGTCATCGACCTTAACTTGCTCTATACGAGAGCCGATGTCATTATCGACATCCAGTGAATCGCATTTACAGCCAATATCACTAACAAGGTCATCGACCTTAACTTGCTCTATACGAGAGCCGATGTCATTACCGACATCCAGTAAATCGCATTTACAGCCAATATTACTATGAGTATCACTTAACGGAGTACGTGCCGTTCCACTAAGTGTCATTGAGCTCTGCTCGACACTATTATTGTTGACATCGGAGTTTATCAACTCAGACACTCCAATGTCCAGCACATTAACTGAATCAGTTAATGGCTCGCGCCAATAGCACTTTTGTTTTCTAGCGAAGGTGGGTTCATGACTCTCCAAAGCTTCGCTAGGAACATCGCGCGTTGCGCCTAAAGTTTTGGATCTCCAATCGATCCACGGCTCATGGCGTTCCAGCCAGGCCATACCGAGAATGAGATCATATCTCGAGTCCAAATCTAGGACAAGACAGCGTTCAACGCTATTGAAATCTAAAAATTTCACACCTAAGTTCAACGGAACTTTAGGAACGGTGACACGTACACCAGTCGCGAGACGTACGGTTATACTGTCACCCTCTTGCGCTTCCAGCGCCTCAGCATACAGCTGACTCCCCTCAAGGGAGCGACGTCGGACATTATTCCCTGACGCCCCTGAGTCAATTAAAATTGACCAGGGTTTCTCAAAACCCTTAACGGTTGCCGACACAACCAACAAGCCTGGCTTGTAATTTTGTTTTATGGGAGCATCCACAGAACCACCTGGGGCTAAGCCCTGTATACCTTTACCTCCTAAAGATCCAACAGAACTTAGTTCTTTCCCAGTAGGGCGCCCCGCGCCTACTGGGAGTCGACATTTTCCCCTGCGGTGCTCGCCTTTTGGCTAGGAGCAGGGTTTCGGCTTTGCCGATTTGAACGTTGCTTTCGCAACGGACAGTTAGGGCGGAGATGCCTAGTGCTTCCGCACATGTAACATCTACGGATGCTACCTTGCTGCTCAGCAGCTTGAAGCTCAGCTTCTTCAGCATGGCTGAGGTCCATGGGTTCCGCCCTATTAGAGGTATTTGATTGATACCAGGGCAGACCATATCGAGCAGATTTAAAATTGAATTCAGCGTTAAATGCTACGCTTACTGCCTCCTCAAAAGTTGAAGGCTGGACACGGAAAACTTCCGTCCTGGCGACCCCAGTGCGAAGTCCCTCCATAAAAATGGTTACTCGGACTTCCTCTGCCAGTGGGTCCTGCTGCATAGCAGCAATGAGAGTTCTCAACTCTTGGACATAGTCCGACAATTCCTTCTTACCCTGTCGGGTAGCTAGGAAGCGTGAGCGCACACGATAAGCCTGATTAGGCGGTGCAAACACACAAGTTAATTGCTTTTTAAGCATCTCCCATGTGGGAAATGCATCATTTACAGAGACACCGCTCGTTAGAGCCCACTCTCTAGCTCTTCCACCGAGCTTAGAAATGGCCAAGCCAACTCGTTGCTTATCGGATGCAAGCATGGCGGCATCCATTGCCATTTCAACTTCTCGGATCCAGAGGAGAAGGTTCTCTCCCTCCTTCCCCTCGAAGGTCTTGACACTTAAAACAAGTGGACGAGCCTTTGGCTCTGCATCGGTCACAGGTACCGGAATGTACTGTATAGGCGCGGCTGACGCTGCCTGGTCATGGACCTGCCCGAGGAGCGTTGCCTCATAACGCATAAAGGCCTCAAGACGAGCATTTAGAACCTCGGGGCCTTGGGCCAAAAGGGCCTCGATTTGATCGGGCCCGACGAACGCCGATAGTTTATCTAAGGCGAGTCGCTGTGCCTCAGAGAGGTGATTTTGATTCTCCATTCTCACAGAGGGTCAGTCTTTAAAAGACTCAGGTGTAGGATTGACTACTAGTGCTACCAAGTGTAGCGGAGCTACACAGCTCTTTAGCCAGAGGAAGACTTTCGGCTGGAAGCCTCTTAGTTCTAGAGAACTAAATAGAGTGAAGGCTAAAAGCCACTTAGTTCTGAGGAACTAATTAAACGACTTAAAGTCACCCTGTTCTAAGGAACTAGGAAAGAGCCTTTTAATCAATCAAGCAATGTGCTTAAGGTTCAGAGAACCAACGCACAGAGTGCAAGAACAAGCTAGAAGCTTAGGGGTTCAGAGAACCAATGCACGAAGTGCACAAGAGAACAAGTCAGAACGACTTGCGATCTTAAACTCAAAAGGAGAACTGATTTTATTTATGCTTTAAGATTTTATGAATAGTCCTACTTTAAGTACACTACACTAGATTAATTACTATTATAGTAATTATTATATGCAGACTTTGCTATTGGACGACGTATCGTCTAAACATCTGTGTATGATGTACTTAATACAGCGTTAGTGATTTATCGAATCCCAATCGATAAGATACGGTATTACCGAATACCGTATTATAACGCTCATACTTAATACCTCTCTAACGAGAAGTATAATAATGCATTATATGCAATACAAAGGAGAATTTAAGCGTAAACTCTCGGAAAGACGTTACAACCGTCGTGTAACCCCGTTACACAATGTCTGCGACGTCCTCAACATGGATCGTCGATCGTTCCTAGAAGGATGATCTTTAACCTCGTGCTAATGTCTTTTCGCTGCCATTTTTAATGAAAGGACTGGTATATGTGTGCTATTTTATTGCTGGCTGAACTCTCGCTTGTTCTGTGCTTACCGAACGCCAGTACCATTGTGGATCAAGTTTACGACTATCAAAAGTAATTTTAGATGACAAGATGCAAAAAAATATACTCAGGTCTTAGTTCGCAAACCTTTGCTATCTCTAAGCCTGTTCAACGTTTTAGATCGTTCCTGTCCTGTCCTGACTCGATCTTGACCACAATCACTTATTGCGCCATCGCAGCAACATCATCACCACGACGTCATTCGGCTCGACAGGGTTCCGCTTTCTGCTAGAGCGTTTCCTAGTCACTGAAACCTGCAGCTGATGCTACTTCTTCAGCCAAACGATCGAGATTTTCTTGCGTAGCGCATTGATAATAGCTATTAAGTGACTGCACCAGCGCCAGGCTCAGCGAATTCTCGTAAGGGAGTCTCAGAATGGAACGTGTAAGTATTTCAGCATCCCGTCGTTTCAAATAAGGGGTCGCATTATCTCCTATCACAAGATCAATCCAGAGAGTCTTCTCCTCAGTGAGGATCACATTCGGCACACGAGGATCTCCATGAGCCAAGTTATTCGCATGAAGCTGCCATAACATGTAAAAGAGGCTTCGTACTTTCTCTCGAGTCGTTGGTCGCGGTAGAGGTTTCCCGACAGGACACAGTAATAGCGCACCGCTTTCCATAGTTGCGGTGACATCTCCAATAGGTTTAATCGTCAAGCCTGTGTGCTCGGCCATTAACAAGGCTCGTCGCTCCCGATAAAGACGTTCCACATCCGTTGCGATTTTCAGCGCGAAAATCTTTCCATCCTGCCCAGTAACCTTGAAAACGCGTCCGTATGCACCACGGCCGAGAAATGCATCGCCTTCCACCACATTAACATGTAATGCCTCGCAGGCATTGGTCAAGTATGCCACTCACGGCGACGTGTTCTCACAAATAAAATTCTGAAACAATGATTTCGAGCCTTTGTCGACCCACTTCGCCTTTTGAACTCTGTAAACATCAGCCTTGTAGCTACTGATTAACCAGAATGACTGACGGTCAAAAAGAATGGCGTATGCTGTCTCCTCGGGGCAAAGGTTTTGCAGGTATTTTACCACTTGGCCAAACGCAGCGTTATATATACTAAGCTTGCTTTCGAACAGGATGAGGCAGTCGAACAATTCTTCTTCTGCAACTCCAAATCGAAATCCATCCGGGCAATGAACACGATATTGCGGTTCTGGCTTGACACGATACATTCCAGGATGGGTCGCAAATCCATCCGGTTTGAGGTGTTTGCTCTTATACAATTTAAAACCCTGAGAGAACCATTGATACCTCTCACTATTCACGTATACCAAACCACAGCTTTCTAGTATGCTGCTGAAGAAAGGAGTAATAAATGCGTCCAAATCAGCCTCATTCGTAATGACATCAGCTTTAATCTGAGTCTCCTTCGACCAAAATGCTTCTTCGTCCTCGACTGGTGCAAAATCGATGACCTGCTTTTTTACTTCCAATTTTATTTGCTCTTGCGCACCAAGTGCCGCATTCGACAAGGACTTTGACGATTTGTGTGGCAAAGAGGCCACCGCTTGCTCAAGCTGCTGTGCAGCTCGCAATAAACGATTAATGTCTTCTCGCATCCGTACTGCCTCATCGACATCTTGAGCTTGTACGTGCTGAAACGGAACTACCACCAGCACGTGAATTTGTTCTGGCAATGGCTGCGACATCTTGTTATCATCAAAGAGCCAACGCTGTAAGGTTCTCGTTGCCATCACTTGCTTTACACCAATCATCTGCTGGATATTTGAATGTGTCTTCCCTGTATATAGCAGTTGCGCAGCAACATCGTCGTCCTTTAGCCACTTGTCGTCCGTTCCCTTTGCCAGGAAAAGTTGCAGGTTACGCGCAGGACCTTGGAGATCTTCATTCTTCGCCTTAATAACCTTCTTTAAGTCCCCCACACTCTGAGTCACATCGATCTCCACAGAAAACGCACTTCCCTTCACACCAACAATGGCGCAGAACAGCTTTACCATGATTTTGAGCCACAATATTCGCAAATATATTTGTAACAGGGCATCTACTTACACGTAAAAATTAAGTAATATACTTAATGTTTGGTCTAAAAGTATCCATGATTACTTTTGACCTGTCACTTGGGTGCGATACACAAACGTGATCCACCCTCGTGAATGTGATATCCATTGATGGATTCACATGGGAAGGGATGACGCTAGTTGAAGCTAGGCATCGCGACGTCTCAGAAGGACGTCAGTTGCGATCTTAAATCTAGATTTAAGTTCATGCGTCAGGATACGCTTCTGAAAAGTCGCGTATCCGATCTATATTTATAGCCAATCAGTAGTTAAGTTAGTATTTAATTAAAATTCATTAAATATAGCTCAGTCTTGAATTTAAGCACAGCGCACGAGAAGCTGAAAAGCTTCTGCGTGACGTCGGTGCCTTCTTGTTAAGAAGTTCGTTGCACTCTCGCTAAAGTGAGACGCAACTAGTGGTACGACTGCTTAAGCAGTCGACCAACCGCTTATCCACCCTCGCACGCGAAGGTAAGACGGTCTAACCGCTTCCTCGCCTGTGCTGAAGGTGTGTGCTCGTAGTACGAGGCAACTGCGTAGGAGCGCCCGTCTACAGGTTTCTTATACGACTATACAGGGGCCAAAACGTGAGACATCCTTCCGTTCTGCATGGCTGACTACCAAAAATCATAATATTGATCCCGCTGAGCGAACGACTTAGACAAGTAAGATTTCTCTAGCGTTATTCGGAGCTGGTTCACTAAACAAGTCACATCCTTTCCTTCAATGTTTCTTATGGTTACGATGCTGAACGTGTCGCCGTCATGGATGCCGCCTTGCTGACTACTGGTTGTAATGAAGTATGCACGCAGTCACAGACGCCCGAGCACCTATTTTCCGCTATTGAGATCATGCGCTTGCAGAATATTAATACTTTGCAGAACAAGGTGGATCGGGTTAAGGACGATGCCACTGTAGCTCAGCACGAGAAGATGACAAAATTTGTGGCCGCTACGGCCCCCTCGGCTCCCCGATTACCCCTATTTCGGCCGTGGTCAAGTACAATATGGACGTGGCTGGAGAAGCTCACGGAGAACGTGATGCAGGTCGCCCAGCGTTTGTCCAAGCAGTGTCTGAGCTGCGTGGCCGGAAGACCCTGGAATTGAGGTGTGATGTGGATTATTTTGAGCTGCCGTATGCTTTAGTGTCGATATTGAATTACGATGTTATATACACAAGCTGTACCGTTGCCATTCGCTGGATCTTTAGGACATTAACGTAAGTATCTTTTAGCGACGTGAAAATGTCGAGCATATTTCTTTCAGTGTTTCTGATGTCTCATGTTAGTTCATTATATAGCAGTCTTGTGAATGAGGCTTTCCATCAAGAAGTGATGCGACTTTGATAAACATGGCAACAGACTGCTGTACGCATCAATTCTTTACTAGACTTCAGATCCACTTCCTGCGATGTTGCCAGCATCTTAAACGTCTTTGCATAAATATCGCAGTACTGTAGTCCATTCAGCAACAGCTTCTTCGATATGTCCTGTTGGCGAATGAACTCTTCGGGTATGTTAATGCCTTTCAGAGCTTTGCATCTCTGCACTGCAAACCGCACCGACCTTGCCATCTTCGGAACTCAGGTAAAAGAGACTATTTGGCTCAAATTTGGTCAATCGTCGGTACACTAGCAAATTTTTCTTGTGCTTGGAAACGAGGTGGAAATCCCTTACGCACAGCAGTGTGGTTTACCAATACCCAGCAAGCCCATCACAATACTTTTCTTCGTATGCAAGTATTCACGCTATTGTGAAAAGACTCTTGAAACTATCCATCCAGCATTTTCCATTCGCCAAACTTTTCCACTTTGGTACGTACATCTACCCAAGCTGCTCATATACGAAGGGCTCTTGTGTACAGCAATGACACCCCGCTCGTTCAGTAGAATGCATTCCTCAGCGTATTTTATGGCTCGTTCAGTACAATGGCGGGTGGAAGCTGTACATTTGCTGTAATCGAAACAACATTCGCAACCTGTGCTGGCAACTTACCAGCACGTGTACCGGAATATTCCAGCTGCAACATCCTCCTCGAGACTTGAATCCGCATAGCTTCCTCCATGTAGCCAATTAACCACGCTGACTGCGCTTCCGCACCGTCTACAGCGTCAGACCACTGATGTAACTCACGCTTTGCTTCACCTTTGCATCCGTCAGCCATGCTTCGCGGCCCTTATCTTTCTGTGCCAGGAGGAGCGCTGGTCCATGGCATTACATGAGATTGTCACCAACTTCATCTCTTTGATTGCCCTTTTCAAGTGTCCCACTGACTTGTTGTAATGGAGTCCACAGGAAAGATTCTTGCTTTTTCAACCAGCACACACATTTGATAAAGCAGTACCATTTTCCTACAGCTGAGAAATTGTCGAAGGAGATAATTTGTCAAGTCAGCAAAAGCGAATTAAAGCGATGGGTCAGCACTGAAAAAGCAGAAAGGTCAGAGGTATCAATGGCAGTGGACAAAACTATCTTCCTGTGAAATGGGGTTAGTTAGACGACAGCCTCTATCGAAAACTAGCAAATGAATTTCTCGTCCTACAAAAGTGAGACTGAAATTACGCTCGTCTGGCCTGGCTTGCTCATCTTGCTCATTGCTCCATTGCCTTCTCGCGGACCTTGTCTTGATATGACTCATCACATGTGCTAACGTCGAGCTGTCCTCATAAATTCAATGCAGCACACAACGTCACAGTTTAGCAGCATGAAGAGCTCTCCCGCTTCGATGATGTGCAACTGAGATCAATCGTTTCAGGTACGTAACTGCAGCAGCCAAAACAACACGGGTTCAAGACAACTTTATACAAATCACCACACATTTGCAATTCTACCTTATACTGGTATACGTACATATCGTCTTCATGGCCCTTGTGCAAAGCCGAAGCAGCAATTGTCTGAAACGCTTCTTCCACACTCGTCGCTTCTTTCGCACTTGTTTCATAGTGCTGAATTGGCTAAATCACTCCCACCGTAATAAACATCAACACCAATCATGTAATTGCAGCACTGTCATATCCACTCACCTGTTGGACGTTCTTTCCACGGCACCACTCGTGCGCCTTCTCCTTGGGAACCTGCACCACGATTATGATAAGTCATTCAACAGCCACAATTTCTAGACCCTCAGCCCAAGTCAATTATTTCTCCTCACTCTTCGTTCCGACTCCTTGTCCACCTTGTTACCCAGTACAATAAACGGAAAGGCATCCGAGTCTCTTGGTCCTGCCTGTGCCAAGAACTCGTCTCGCCACGTGTCCAGCTTCTCAAAAGACTACAATGAAACGATAGAAATGTCAGCCTTCTGCAGCCTCACTACTACATCTTCACTGTTATTAATTGCCTTGGGGTTGGTAATGTCATAGTCCAGCACACATGCATCAGCTACACGGTAAGAGGCGAGAATGGTTTGAGTGCATCAATAGAGTTTGCCGATGGCCCGTAGTGTTTCATTCGCTTCGTGACAAATTTCCTGCGTCCTGGTTTCAGACTCGGAGCTTGAGTGGAAGATGGGCCAGCGTGCACATAGAATAAAACTTCGTTCGCAAGTAGCCGTTGCACCTCGCGACGAGCACTTGTTGGTAATGCGGAAAGGTCAAGAATGTCGCGCGTCTTTCGAGCGTCATTGAATCGCAAATCGTAGGAACCCAGACAGCGCGGCAGCGCTCTGATTACAGTTGAAACCACTTCTAATTCCTCCAGCTCCAAGAAACGAAAACAGCCTCCATCATCATAAATAATATCGAAGTCACTCGGTGAACTCCGTGGATGGCCACCACCAACGCTCTTCCGGATTACTCGGTCGAATTGGAAGCACTTCAGACGTAAAACATTGCCGTGCCACGAAGCGAGTGAGTCGCTCTGTCAAATCAAATGGAAGCGATACTAACACACTGTTACCGTCTAACATCATCGATGCGTTTGGCGAGGCGTTCAGAATGATGTTGTTCTGCTCGGACAACCTTAGTATAAGCAGCGGTGTTGAGATTTCATGGGCTCCATGGCGCTGAAACACTTTCTATTCAACCATGACATATTTCGCTTAGACTCAAGCACAGTATCCGCTACAAAAGATAAAATGGTTCCCAGCCTGTAAAACGTTCCTGGCGTATGTTTTGCGCGTTATTGGACCTCGTAGCTGCACGTTTTAACGGACTTCAGATGATCGTACGTGTAGTCGGTGTGATTAAGAGACTTCGGTGAGACCAGGACGTCAACAAGTTGACTAAAAATTTGCCATGTGGGTTTGCGAGAGTTTCCAGAGCCTAGGAACCTTCGATCTCTACCTTAGCAGGCAATAGTGGTCTCGCAGTAGCTCCTTCGTGTTCGGCCGTCATGATGGATCACATTCGCAGAGCCACAAAATTATCGTTTTTTCACCCATAGAACCTGGCAGCAGATGACTCGTTTGAATCGGATAATATTAAGCCAGTCATAGTTTCTCCAGAAGGGGAGGAGTCACCGTTGCTATCGTCGTCTTCCGTGACCTTGGAAAGTTGAACGGCGAGACCAAAATCTCCTAGCTTTACACTTCCGGCGAGTCCAGAAACAAGTTAGGTGGCTTGATATCGTGGTGATAATGCCTTGACGATGTATATAGACAAGCGGCACCAGGATTGGTGAAACATCGTCCAAGTTTAGTTGGCGTCTTTCCATAGACCTCCCTTGTCTATCGCCTCTCTGAGAGCGTTTCCCTCGCAAAAAAATCTCCATCTGCATGTACAATTTCTCGAGCTTCCTCTTGTCCTCGAACACAGGATTTCTATGAGGCCGTTATTCGCCGAGATATACAACATCTCCATCGTCACTGAAGTCAACCTCGTCCATCGGAGCTTCTTCTAGCGCTTCCCACTCAAAGCCATCATCAGGAAAGCTTTCGGATGCGCTTTTATGCGAAGGTAGCATGTATGTTTGTCTTTTACTACGCAGATCACGAGAGTCGTGGCGAGACGTCGATACAGGCTACAGTCCCGTGCTGCTGCCTATCGTGCCTTTGCCTTCAATCCGTGCCTGAAAGTACCGCACGATATGTCGGTGCTACATTCGTACCGTGTCTTTACTTCACGCAAATCTTCTTCTTCATCGTTTTGTCGTCCGGGTCTAGCTTGACCTTCTTGACAAGCGTAAAGCTGTCGGTCTAGACGATTACGTACATGCACTACCTATCCTCCGCGTCTTAGCAGTTCTACTCGTTAAAATCACCATGATACTTGGACTGGTACCGTTTTGAAGCCGCCACTGCGTCCAAGTTCAACTCATCCGAGTCCAAATTCAACACACTTGACACACTTTCATCCCGCGTGGAACCTGCATTTATCTGCTGTTGGTAACTACTTGATGTCTCCCACCCTCACTACCAATACAGTCTCCATCAATATTAGATCGGTGTATCCTCCGTCTCCTTCATGTCTTCGTCATCGTCTCTCTTTTATTCTCACAGCGTCAATAAGCGCCAAAATTGCCTCATTCTTGACTTGAGACTGTTCTTCTTGTTGCTGCAGCACTGCGTCCTCCACCATAGTATCCTGTCTCTCTCTATCCTGTTGCCGAGTCATCATTTGGTCGAATTTGTTGTTGGTCCTTATGATGTTCTTGAATGAAGTCAGTGGCAAAGACACGAGATCGTACACGATGCGTCCCCCATTGGCTCCAGCGCGAGTTTCTCCATCCCACCGTCAGTTTCTGCGTCTCCGCATCATACAAGCCGTGCTTAGCTTCCACCGTAATATTGGGCGGCTATTGATTGGATACGCCCGTGTCAAGTCGAAATGCAGCAGCACTTCGGCCGTCGTAGCTAGCAATCGGATAGTGAAGATGTAGGCGTATAGCGGTGTAGAGCTCTGCATCGCTAGGTCTTGATCGCAAATGACTTGTAACACTTCCAGCTCTTGGGTCTGTAGCTCGGATAAAGTAGCGGCGTCATAAGAGCTGAAGTGTCGTGGGTTACACGTTTATAGAAAGAGAATAGAGCAAAAATGTTGAAATGGTTAAGGAGAGGAGATGTAAACGTAGCAACATACCTCTTTTCTTCCCCTTCTTCCGACTC